GGCGTGCGGACGAAATGGGCAGACCCCTTCCATCATAGCGCTGTCGCCATTGAGCAGGGAGCGCAAATCTGCAGGGCATCTGGCACAGTCTGTGCCACTGCTGTCTGCCGGCACATCCCTGGTGGTATTACGACCACTTGTGCCTGGAGCTGAAGGTCGTAAAACGACCAGAGTTATATGGACCATTATGTCACCGGCCGGCCCGCTTTGGTTACCGTGACCTCCGTGCACTGTCTGCGTGCCGGGGCACTCCCAGGAGCGCGCGGGCCGAGTGGCCGCTGGGGACCGCGAGCTGGCGATGCGGACAGGCGTTAGTCACGGATGCGGACAGGGAGAGGCGTTTTCCTTGACCATGGGTTGGGAAAGGCGACGTGCCTTCTGATCGCCCTACAATGATTTCGGTAGGGGGACATGTATTTTGTCGGGCACGGGTCTGGTCAGGACAATGCGTCTACTGTTCGTTTTAAAATCGGGCGAAACTACGCTGGCGAGTAGTCAGCCTAAAAGGCTTCAGGTAGAACGAGGTGTCCAATGTTGTCTATGGCTTTGTACAGGGCCAAAAGTCTACTTTGACCACGGATTTTTGGAGCTACCGCCCCATGGCGCGCAGTGCCCGCCGGGCGCCGCCCCTGCCGTCCCAGTCCGCCGCCGGTCCGCACGCCTGACCTCTGGTCATTCCTCGCTCGGTGCCGTTCCGTGCCGCGGCCAGTCACAAAATACAGACGAGTGGTGGTGCCGTGACGTGGCGCAGTCACGGTACGGTACCGCTCCAAATGTCAGAATGTGACCTTACACAGCGAGAACACGGCGAGCCCTGCAGATCTCGCACAGCGAAACGCTGAAATGAATTTCACTTCGCCTCAAAGAGCATCAAGATGTTGCCGACTAACGTCATACAATTTGGAACTAGAGCAGAAATTACATTTGTGACCAGTCAATAAATCATTAATTCATTCATTGTCTGTGCTGGGCTCCCACAGGATCAGATTATATGTGCATGACATTTCTGCTCGATTATTATACCTTTTACAGCAGGTTGCTGCACCTGTTCAGCGGAAACGACCACGGTACCAATAGCGTTTCTATGTATCGTATTGATGCATCCAGTTCGCAAATGAGAATTTAACCCGGCAGTTGCTGGGGTATTTCGCCACCCGCCGTTTGCTGAGGGGGGCGTTAAACGCCCCCAGCCGATAAATAGGCGCGGAGAAACGCACGAGGCGGCAAACGAAAGAACGCGACGAGACGCTTCAGATGAGTACTTTAAAAATGAGTTTTGAGGTCACAGGTCGGGTCAAGGTCAGGTCAAACACCTGAAATCGGGCTTTCAGTAGCATGGACTTCGGAACCTCGCAATGGGCGCCTCTCGTCATAAACTCTGTCAAAACGGTGCACAATCCTTCATATAAGGCCTACAAGAGTGTCAGATCCATGTAGGGGTCAGTCAAGCATAGGTCAGGGTCATGTTCAGGTCAACCAGGTAGGCACATATCCCCGAAAATCTAAACTGATATTTGCAGCCTATGAGTGTGACATATGTTTTATGGGTAATTTTGGGCGTAGAACACGATGGTAACATTTATTTCATCATAGGTAATTTAAGAAATGCATGCATCATGGTCGTGAAGTAGTCACGAGAAAATGCCAAGATTCAGTTCAAGATTTTGGAAGATTCGAAAAGATAATGAAAAATCGAAGATAGCCATTTGATTTTCCATGGTATTGGCGGTCTAAATGTCTATTCTGTGATTTTATATGATTTTTCGAACATATGCCGTTTTTGGTCGAAAATTAAAAACATGACGTCACTAAGACCTCGATATCTCAAAAAATTTTCGACCGATTTTTGAAACTTTGTCACAATATACTTCAATCAATTCGCGCTGTTGTTATGCTATAGCGCGGCGAAAAAGTGGGGGGCGTTTAACGCCCCCCCCCCCTCACCAGCAACTCGCGGGTTAAACGAAGCTAGCGGTTTTGTGCCAGCATTTTGTCATGAACAATTGCCTAAAATCGCATTCATGGGTCAGGTCAAGTCACCGACCTAAGTCATAATCGCAAGTTTTAGACCTCTGCATTATCCATGTAAATGTCGCAACTTGAAATTCTCTCAGTGCCAGGGAATCTTGAAACTTTCAGTAAATAGAAAGCTTCTGAATCCCTATAAATTGTTTCCATGACAGTCACCTGTCAAGCACCAGATCACGTGTCAGGTATGTCACGTAACCTTTTCATTATAACTCAGCAGGAGAAACACGGAAACTGCTTATTCAGCGCTGGTTTCCGCCGGCGTTGCTCTACTCCTACCTCATGCACGTGATGTCGCATTTTCTTGTTCATTTATTTTCATCTTTTATTTGTTCTTTTTATTTGCAATTTAGACCTTGCATGACGTCATACTTTTATCGTGTCACTAAAGTCATTTGATGTCGTCCGATTTCTTTTACAAATTTTTGGTTTTCTACATATATGTTGGCCGAGTCGGTAGGGACCCCTCTCGCAATTTCACCCCTAATGGAGCTAGAGGTTCGCGGAAACGAACGGGCGTGTGCGCCGTTACGACACGCAGCGATTGGTACCCGATCATCCGATGTTAGGGTCTCAGGTCAACCGGTGACCTCTGAAGTCAAGTCAAGTGACCCAAGGCACGGGTTCAGTTTTTGGTAAAAAAGCTTGCCAAAAATGGTCGCAGAGCCGTGATTTTGACACAATCGTATTCTCCATGCTCAGGCGCGTCGAATGGTATACCTTTTGTTCGGATGAGGTCAACTCAAGGTGTTGACCTCGGGTCAAGGTCAGGTCAGCGCTCTTCAGGTCACGAGGTTGGTCGAACCTCGTACACCCACCTCGGCCGGCGAAGGTTAGCCGGCGAGTCGGGTAACGGCACCAACTAACTCTGTATTGTAACCTGCTAACATAAAGTTGTATGAAAAATGACCACCCCAACCAACTTCCTGACTGAGAGACTTTGACCTAACCTTGACCTGAGACCGACACCGGAATCAAACTTTGTCAGACAAAGTATACCATTTAACGCGGCCTAGTGCGACGAAGACGATGATGCCAGCGTCGAAAAGCATTGTACACTTCATGTTGAGTCATACGACCATTGTTTACCATTGACTTCACCCTGATCTTCAGGTGTTTTACCTAGCCTCAGAAGTTACCGTTTGACCTCAGACCTATTATGCAGGCACAGGCGCTGCGTCTACTAACGATGCTCAACATTTTTTTTTTCGCGAAGCCCTAGCCTATAAAATAAGGGCAAAACGGTGAAAGAGGTCCTAACTCCCCCCCCCCCCCCCCCCACTCGGCCAGACCGTGTGTAGATAACAAACAACATCGTAGCAAGCAGTAACAGCAGCAGCATGACTTACACAGATACTTTCGTAAAAAAAGCTCAGGCCATATGATCCCACTGTATTTCTCCACCAAATGAAGGTGCTGGGTCATCGACCAAGCTGCTTTATCTATAGGGATTAGGGATGAATGATGATTCACATGGAGGTGATGCCCCGCCCTACAGCACATAGGAAGACTGTCAATAGATAAAGGTACGGCTTTCCAGAACTCACACACATTCACGGGTTAATTACATTTTTTTTTATAGTTGCCAAAACCACGGTGACTATAAGCCACAACTAGCTGGCAGCCCAATCAGCCAGCCGAGCGCAATGCGAGCCTGTCTTTTGTCACCTTTTATCCCCTCCTCTTCTCCGTATTTCCCCTCCCTGCCCACTCCGCCTCCTATCGGAAATGAATCGACCTCTAAGCTCGTCCTGCACTTTGTTCTGGCGAAGTGCCGGCTGATTTTCTCCACAGTACCTACCGTCTGATTTTCTCCACAGTAGCGGCTGATTTGTCCCTGCGTCCGCTCAATCCAAGGCCCTCTAACCGCTCAATCGGGCTCTCAGTCGCAGATAGATACTTATATGAATAATGGATTCCAGGAGGGCAGTCCCATGACGTCATTGGTTCTTTTGTGTATCGTTACCATGGCAACCAGCCCACTGACGTCAGTAAAGTGCATCGTTACCATAACTACAGTCACCATGGGATAAACTCACTAGGTAGTTATGGATAAAACTGATAATAATGGACAACAGAAGAAGATCAGACGAAGCTCAAATATACATCGGTAAGCACTCGAGTGCATTGCGTTGCAAACAAGAAAGTTGATAGAACTTTCAATTGACCTTTGAAGCAATTTATTTTTAGCAATTAATTTACGGTTGAAAAAAGATAGAAATGTAGAAACCTCTCGAGTCACGATTTGTGCGTTTTTTGTCTTTTAACAATGCCCCGTTTTGTGGAGGATGAGAATGAGGTTATCATTTGGCACTGATCGGAAAGTCACTCCAGAGAGCACTTCAACCTTGCTACGCACCAGATCACATCTGCTTAATCAATTCGACGTCCAATAACCGGTGAGCTAATCCCACCTTCTATCCATAATCCCTCTAACCCTCTGTTCAGCATCCGGTACGCCTCGGTCCGTGACTCCGGCGTTGCTCTCCGCCCGGCCCGGACAGGGTACCTTACTCCGGACATACTCCGGGTCCGGAGTCCGGAGCGCCGCCGGCGGAGGCTCGGCCCGGGACGGACCAACCTCGGCCGGCCCGGCCCGGCCCGGAATCAATAGGTGGCGCTCGACGACCGGCCAGTGACGTCACCGTCCGCCAGCGGGTCAGACGCTGACCCCGGCACGGCGGGGTCCGAAGGCTACGGGCAGCCACCGGACCGAACCGGAAAACACTGAACTGCAATCGGTAGCACTCTCGCATTAATTCAACAGGGTTCCTCAAGGATCAATGTCCTTATTTTCTTCGCAAAATGCACATCCATTAGCATCCCAGTTTCCCTCGACATTAAGTTCCTCTTCTAGGTCCCTGTACCGGCCACCTCGTCTGCGTTCCGTCCCGCCGCGTCTGACGGCACCTCTCTGTTCACCAGGCGCCGCACCGAGCCGCTTCACCGACGACGGTCAGCACCGGTGACCGATGGCGATCGCCGGGGGAGTGCCGGAGGCGGCCGCCCGCGCCCGAGAGCCCCGGCCCCAGTCCGACCTGGAGGCGTGGCGCAGCCTGCTCAGCATCTTCTCCAACTACTCCTCCGTACTGGACGAATGGGTGAGACACGAGTGGGGGAAAGAGAGGGGGAAGATGTAGAGAGAAAAAGCTAGAGTGGGTTTGTTTCCATACCGGTATAATTGTTTACGCCGGATATTAGGTACATAGTCCTAAAAAGGTAAATAAGATGCATGAGCCCGGTAGAGCCTTGAGTAAAGGCATATGCATGCCTTATTTGGTGTAAGAATTGTTATAATTTTCCGTATTTTGCAACACAAAAATAGATAGTATTTACGTGAAAACATAGCGTGAATACCTACAAGACGAGCAGTCAACCATTCAGCCAGAAGCTGTCGTGTTTCAGCCGAAGCCATCTGCGTCGCTCCGTGACGCTCCACTTGCTCTGCTCGCAGGTGGAAAAGATGCTGGAGGAAGCAAAACGACACGAGCAGAACGGCGAGCCCGAGCTGTGGATCATGAACAAGCCGGCGCAGTCGCTCTGCATCTGCGTCATCATCACAGCGGCCGTCATCCTCAACATCTGCGTCATCCAGAACATCTACCACAACGACCTGAAGCTGAAAACCGTCCACTTCCTTCTCATTAAAAACCTGTGCATCGTAGACTTGATCGGGGCGCTGTGCGTGCTGCCCGTGCCGCTCATCACCACGATGCAGGGCGAATGGACCTTCGGCGAGGTCATCTGCAGCCTAAACAGCATCATCAACGTGCTGCTCTGGCTGCAGCACATCATCATGTTCATCATGCTGAAGATCGACCGCGTGCTGGCGTCGTGTCTGCCCATCGGGAAGTACCCCCTGTTCCCCATCCGGTTTATCAGTTTCGTGGTGATGCTCTCTTGGCTCTTCTCGTTCAGCGTTGCTGTGTTTGTCACCACCAACTACGACGCCCTCTTCGAGCCGGCCATCATCCTCTGTATCCCCGACCTGCCGTCGGTGTTTTTCATCTTCATCCTCGTCATCTACTGCCTCGCACTCTTTACCATCATCGTCGGCTACGTGCTAGTGGCCATCTTTTTGCGCCGCAAACAGGTAGCCGCGTCCCACAACCCGGCCAGTGTGCACATACTCGACTACCGTGGTCTGGAGCGCACTGCCATGGCCTCGTTCCTCGTCACGCTCAGTCACTTGGTGCTCTATATTCCGACCCTGCTGGTGATCGGCCTTCATGGCTGGATCCTGCCTCCGATCGGCATCCTCATCTGCGACATGATCGTCTACTCCGAGTTCTTCATCCACCCGGTCATCCTGCTGGCCACGTCGACTCGGATGCGCAAAGAGGTGCGCAGCACACTACGCCGTCTCCGCCAGTCTTTTTCGCGTCGGTAGCGGAGGCTGCTAGAAAAGTAGCCGACATCCGAGCACGGCCGTTCGCAAAGCTGGTGGAAGTAACATCCGCCGCGAGACAGCTAACGAGGTGAAAGCGTTAGCTGTCAGCTGTATGTCTGCAGGCATTGGGGTGTACTGTCCGACTCCCCCTCCACTAGACTCGTGTGTGGGACGTGCGTTCGCCGCCATGCCGCGAACTCTGAGATATCGGCACAGCAGCGGCAGTCATGTACTTATACCGTGATGTGAAGTGGTAGCAGGGACTTGTCTAAATGAACAGACTCAGTGACGAACTTTGTGAGGTGCTCAATCGGAGCTGCGCGCGCGGTGGCGCCGTGTGCCGCGCGCGGTGGGCTGTTGAATCGTTGACGTTACAGTGTTGTGTGGGTGGCGAGCTACAGGAACGCACACAGTGCTCCACCTCGCGGACAGCACAGGGCACGAGCACGCTTTCCATGGCCTTGAAGTTTCTGACTATACATATTTACGTAATGTTGAGCTGTCCTAAGACTTGTTCCAATATTTGTGCAGTTATACCCCCGTTCTTCAACAATGCCATGCTTTAGTAGTGATCCCATCCAGACCCGGCTATTTTTCTTGTCCCGTTTTAAAAGCCCTCCCCATATATCCATTTTAGGCCACCGCTTGACGCTCTATTTCCCATGTTTTTAATCTGCAACCGACTTACGGAAAGGCGACACCGCACTTTGGTATTTGCCATTTATCAACAGCTGGAGACACGCCGTTTGTTCGATGGCTGACAGCGTTTCTGAACTTACCGACTATATCGGGGCATTTCTTGACGCCTGATCTCTTAGCAGAGCGTGCCGCCTGTTCATACGTGAATCATAGTTATACATGTTTGAATTCGATTGTTAGATGATGTTACAATGCCGTTGCGCTGTCCTGTCAGTATTAAACGTTGCAGGGAATGTTGCTATAGTTCGTTTTTTTTCAAAAGGACTCTGGCTCCAAGTATGTTTTTCGAAAAAGCACGCGTTTTAGCGAGCAAAACGAGCAAAAACTGAGCTTAGAAACTCGAACGTCGCCTTATTTTAACATGTGAATTATTCCCGATAAATTCCATCCGTGCATTTTGGAGCCAGATATGAGAACAGTGGTGACGTCATGCTGTCGAACTTTTTTGCAATGAAGCGTATAACTATTATGGACGAAACCGCCTACTCGATTATAACCTCGGCAACAGTGAAAAACGAAGTTTTTTCCAAATTCGTCGAAACCTTGTCCCATCGTACGGACATTGATTGCCCGCTGCCACCAGTGACGTCATCATAGTATACTAATTTTTCAAGACACAATTTCCAGATACTTACCGTGCACAATTTGAAATCGAATATTTTTTCGGTAAGAAATTCTTGGCCAGACGCTGAAGCTGTCAAAACTCACGTGAGAGCTTCGATAAGGAACTTGGAGCCAGCGTCCTTTTGAAAAAAAAAAACGAACTATAGTTCTCCAGTTACGTGCTATCGATCAACTGCTCCTGAATCTCGCCAAAAACACATTGCACGGTGCTCAGCCTCATCACAAGCATTGAACGAATGAAGAAAATCTAAATAAAACAGCAAATTCATACGCAAGGAGTGACACAATATGGAGCTGTTTTTCATAGCAAAAATGCACCAACATTCAATCCAGAGTCATCAGAGCACAAAACACATTGGGTAGCTTCTGATATGTAAAAAATTACTTTCTGTTAATGTTGAGGAGGAAATGTGAGCAATATGTGCGCGAGTGCTGTCCACGCGCTAGAATAATTTCGAGTGAAAAATAAAGGAGGGCAGTTGTGAGAGACAACAGCAGGACAATATGTAGTGTTTTTTACTTTAAGCATTTAAGTTAATTTGAAGCACAGTATTGTCAAGCATTAAGTATTTAAGTTAAAATAAACACAACGCGAGGAGAATTATCACGGTAACAGTTAATGTAGCGGAGTCCTATTTATACGCAATGTCTAATAAAAGGATAAACAAATGTCAACGTCATGCTCTCGCTCCACTTAGCTTAATATGTCGAATGTCGATCACAAGTTATTTTTCACACGTTAGTGGGCAGGTACTAAATGACTTTTCATCAAATTTCCATGACACCGTGTGCAATCCTTCAGAGTGGGATACAATGTGAACAATGTGACTGACGGTGGCCACTAACCAGCTCAATGTTTATGTGATTGGTCTCCCTTTCCATATATGATCCCTCTGCCTGGCACTAGTTCACCGCTATTGACCGGTGGTGCAGCAGCAACCGTCTCAGAATGAGACGCCAATGCTCGACATCTTCACGCACACTGATAGCGGAAGGGCACCAAACTTTGTCTCCGTTCTCTCGTATTCTCTTCCCCTGTTCCACTGGCACCAATCGCAGAGACCCGGTACCGCCAGTCTCGCGCGACGCGTGCACCAATCAAAACGGTGTCCTCTTACGGGACAACCGGGACCTATTATCAACAGTGAGCGTCGACCGCAACAGTAACCGTTGACTGTTGGTGAAGCTGGCGGTACCTGCCCGTCGGGCGACAAATGATGATGTCGCGGTTCCAGTGCTCGAATAAGGGAGAACATCGTCTCAATAAACGTCCACACGCTGGGGTCAGCCGAAGAATCAGTTGTATGTGCATTGGAGAAGCGGATACTGGAGAGTACGCGAGTGAGAGTCGATTCCTGCGCTGTAGGACGGTAATCGCATCGATTCAATGCTTGCGCCAGGTTCAATGCTTGGTGATGCTTGCGCACTTCAGGCAATGTGGGGATAGTCGCCGTTTCTGTCGAATAGGTATATCTTTTGATTAAGACACGATATAGACGTCAAAGAAGACAGAATCCTATCTGTTGTGCTGGATCAACTTGATCAAGGGCATTTAGGTATCAAATTTGTCTCAGGTGAAAACTTGCGGTGTAAAAAGGTTATAAAGCTTTGGAAAGGCTTCCCCTCATCGAACTACATATAAACACAGATCCTGATGTGAAATGGTGTTTTCCTGATTTTACGAAATCTACCACTTTTGACTTTTTTACTTCAGCCCATGTTACGCATTTAGAACATTTATTTGCGGGGCGGAATTCTCAGACCATCTCGCTGCTGTGAGCGGGGTGGTGAGTCGGTCAGCGCCCGACAGGTGGCAGCACCTGCGGGGCTCTGGCCGGCGGCGGGCCCGGCGCCAGCGCGGCGATCGACCGTTCAGCGTCGGCAGACCTCGTGCTCAGCTGAGAGAGAGAGCGATCAATGCAGCCGCCGCTGACCGCCGGAGGCGGCCGCCTCTGATACGGAGTACCTACCTCCACCTGATCCGGATATCTCTTGGTCTCATCTGACCAGCGGACACAGGCAGTCTCTTATACCGAGTGGCGAGCACCTGCCTCCATCTGACATCTGATAAACACTGGAACAAATCATCTACAATACCGTGTTCCTTCATCCGACCTATCCACGAGACAGATTCTCCGTACCTAATTATCTTCCTTCCCATTTGCTGACAGACTAGATTGTGGACAGATCGTATTAAATGTGCGTCCGATCGACCACTGGACGATGGTTTCTGTATGCCTACACATCAAACTGCAGATTATCTCCAGTATAAAACACGTTGACTATTGGACATCTCCGACCGCTAGAAATATCCTGACTGATACACAGCTCATTACTGGACAGCAAAGGAGATCCAGAAAGGCGCTGAATTTGCCCCAAATGCCCCTCCAAATGGATCCGCCAGTGCTTGGCAGCCCCTGAGTAACTCTCCGATTACTGTCCATATCCTACATAACGCATACAATCGCCGGAAAAATCACCCCTGAACAGTTCCACGTTCTTATTAAGCCAGATCGGGCCAATGATGACCTGTTGCAAGCTGATACCAAAGGGTCGGCCAGGGTCGGCTTCGGATGCCTAAAACTAAATCGCTACGCGGGCAGTCTCTAGTGATGTCGAGCAACCACCTTTGATCTGATCTCTGGGCACGGATCCTCTTGTTCTCTACTACAACGCATCTATTTATTTCTCTTAGCTGACCGCCGGACGGAGTCAATAATACCGAGGAGCACCCCCACCTACATCTGTTTGTCGTATCAAGTCACGTCGCATGACATTTCACTTATTTGTTTCACTTATTTGTAAAAGTCCCAGTTGAGTGTTAGCCTAAGGTCACATCAAATTCCGTCAGAGTAATACGATGGCTGAGAGCGATCAAGCTGCTATTCGACAAAGAAAGCCAGCCAATATCAAACGGATCGTTTTCAAACAGACTGACGCAGCCAACAGGAAAACTACTTGGGATAAAAACTCTGCGATATATATTTGAGCTCAGTGCTCGCAGCTAGCGGCCTCCACAACAGCACGATGGCCATAACGACCGTAATAACTGCCGAAAAAATAAACCAACCAAATTGAACTGATCTCCAGCGCAGTATCGCCAATCATTGCAGCGAAGCTGGGGGTGATCAAGCGCGCAGTTAGTTATAGGCTGCTGAACAAGAAGCCAGTCTACTTCACAGAAAACATCGAAAAATGTTGATATCGATCTATGTCGGACACCGGTGGTAAAATCATACCAACGATACAAAGACATAAGAAAATAAAACCACCCTAGGAATGACATGACGTCACGCCGTCGAAGACAGAGTCCGGACCGCCTAGTTAAAACACTAAGCACCAAAGGACTTGCGTAAGAACTATCGACAGGTATGCAAACTGTTGCAAAAGACAGTACTGTTGCCTGGAGACCTTCAACGGGGGCCTCACATCATTATGCAAGAAGACTCCCACCGCATCTAGTATATGATGAGAAACAAAAAACGAGATTGTTAAACATGAAATTCTGCTGGTAACTTAGATTATTGTCAGTGTACGGGACCCATCTCTCCAGCACGGGGGATTCGGGGCGTAAAATGTCGATGTGAATCCACGGATGTTGATGAGGCCGGATGATACTATCAATAAATCGACTTCGTTGTGCGACCGAGAAAGTGAGTCAATGCTAATCTCTTAGCGGGCGTTAGCACAAACTCACTTCTCCGGATGCTCTTTCACAGCCGACAGTGCCACTCCCAACTCCCCGCCTGGTAAATACAAAACAAACTCACTGCCGTGTGAAGCAGACTCTGCTCACTTCTCCAGTAGGTAGAGCCGGTATATTCGCTCCTGTTGTTGATCGCTAAAGGTCGGCAGACAGTCCAGTCGACAGATCTCTGAGAATCCCTCGTCGGTGGTGGGCTCCTCGTATCGAGACCTGCGATAAACCGGTGTGGGGATTGGTGGTAAGCGTGACAGTTTGTTAGGTTACCGGGATTATCAGATGGTTTTACACAGTCACGCCCAATGGGAGATTGTACCATTGTGCGCTAGACATGGGAAAGAGCCACGGGAAGTAAGCCATCGGAGGATACCGAAGGGATTAGACCACAGGAGTGGGACGCCAGCCACCGAGCGACCGACACAAGGATACCGGGACGACAGGGTCGGCTGCACATTGCACAATGCTACAGAACGTTAGTATTCTCGTATTTAGCTTGCGACAAAAGTTAATTGTGTCCTCAATATATAACATAGCTATATCAATGATTTCGAGAGATGAATTAAAACCAAGTAACTCGTCGACATGTGGGCCTGCCTACGTCAGCCCAAATGCCAGTCGAGGTAATCAGCAAACGACTCATCAATCACATTAACCGCAGCCGCATTGACGCAAATGCTGCTGTGCAGCTGGGCTTTTTACTTGCGCTACGTCAGATACGCTACCTCTAGGTTTTTCATCCCATTGACCAGCAAGCTTTTGGCAAAGTGCAACGGGCACGGCCTCCGCCCACCTGTTTCTGGACTACTTTACAGATATACCGCAGTCATTGAGATTCAGCACTATTCTCAAGTTCGGTCGAGGAGTCTGGGGTGGTTACCTTCTGAAGTCAGTTGCATTTAAACTGTTTCCATTTCTGAACCGTCCGAGGGGGTGCTTTAAGTAGGGATACGGCCACAGCACTCACAGTTCACGAATGACGTCATGCTGTGAGAGGCCAAAAACACAGCGCAACCCAAGAACGAGAGAAATGACGTCACACAGCAGGCTATAAAACACCCAGCGCCAACCAGGCACGGCAAGGACAATGCTCGTGCTAAGAGTGATGAGATGTGGGAGGGACCACGAACATTCACAAAACATCCACGTAAAGCAGAAACATCCAAGAAATCCAAGCGTGGCCATTAAAATGAATAAATAAAGCATGTTAACTTCAAGAGCTTACTTGAACATGTTGAAGATCATGTCGCTGACGTGCTGGTGAGACGAGTCAGTCAGCTCCCGGTACTGAAATGTAACAGACACGCCGTCAGATGCCACTGACGAGAAGACGCTCCTTTTGGCTTTGGGGAGCCCGCACGGGTTCAGTTATTACTTTGTTACGAGAAAACAGTTTCGAAACTCTAATGGACGTTAGAGTACCTAACTAACGACATCCGAAAACCCGGCCTGTGCTTAGGAAGCATGTACCTACCATCTAACAATCATAATTATGTAGCAAACGGGCATTGATGTGTAGTAAAATTAAAGAAAAAATGCGTGTTGTGTTGTTGCTGCAGCTGTCCAGCACCACGACCCACCTTGTTGTTGTGCCGCGCGTGCGCCAGTGTCGTGGTCATCAGCAGACAGCGGACGGGCACGCCGAGTCGGCGGCCCAGCTGCACGTACCGGGCGCGGCTCTCGCGGTCCCCGTTAGTGTTGTCCACCGCCGCGCTCTTGCCCTCCTGTCCGGTGTTGGGGGGGGGGGGGGGGGAGGGAGGAGGGCAAAGCAGTCAGAACGGGCGGCATATTCCATACCGTAGCTCCCAGCGGAATTAGCTGAATTCGTTAGTGCCGTCTGTGGCTGCCAGGGGATAAAACACTGCTTGCACAACCAGCGTTTGAAGCTTGCTCTACTTAATGAGCTTAAGCACAAAGCAGAATAAGTCGAGAGCTAGCTCACTCGGCCCGTGCCTCGAACAGAGCATCTATACCAGAAAAAAGCCCTTTGTGGGGCTGCAGGTCGGTAGATAGGCAGTGCTTCACCACAATCAACCCCTTCTTGGGCTACAGGCCGGTCCTATCTGAACCCGAGAGGGCACACAAAAACAGCAGTGCCTACCTTGATAGCTTGTTCGGCGACTTGGACGCACTTCTGCCACGATTTCAGCGTATCCCGGTTGGCAGCCACGTAACCAGCGGGCACCAGCTGGGTGGACGTCACGTGACTCTTGCCAGAGCCGGGCGGTCCGACCAGGACGACAATCTGCCGGCGGGAGGTCGGGTCGGTCACGATGATATAGCACATGATGTCACATCGGTGCACATAGTCACGCTAAACCTGGTGGAGGCTTGAAATATGCATTTAACCCGCGCCCTGGTGGGGTCTGTTTATAACGCGACCTGGTGGGGGGGGGGGCTACTTTTTGCCCCCCCCCCCTCATATCTCCGAAACTACTGGACGGATCCGCAAAATTCAAACGGCGTTCAAAAGGTATGTCAAATTTGTCGAGGGAAATCAAGTTTCATTGACCTCGGGGTCACCGATGACGTCACAGGTCAGGTCAAAGATGAAATGTTTCACCGTTCACGGGTCTTCTAGGGAATGCGCTGTAACACCGAGGAAAACACATTTTGTCGAGAATCAGTTCAGCCATAGGGCGTCAGTTGCCTAGTACATATGTTGCTATTAGAGGTCACTGACAACATCAGGTCAGGTCACAGGTCAGGTCACCAAGGGTCACAGGTCAGGTCACATGAACTCAACTTTACTAAGGTTGTGCTTTGCATGTTTTATGACCAATTTTTCATCTCCAACTCAAAAATGTTGGTTATAAGACAATGAGGTACGGCTTAGGTCACTTTCTGGTGAAGGTCAGGTCAAGGTCAGGTCAAAAAAGGTCAAATTTTAAAGTTGATAGTTTTGCATTAAACGGGTATTGATTCGATGCAGCTCGTCACGGGGAGTCTAATGGTGGTCTTTGTTTTGCGCTACGGGGTCTAGAATTGCTAAAAATTGAGTTTGAAAATTTGGCGTCATAAATTTTGAAGTTTTTTTTCGCTATAACTTCGCCAAAAAAAAATTGGTATCGATCTCAAATTTGGTATGTGGATAGAAGGCGGTAAGGACTATCACATATATTCCGGTTTTTGCGAAATTCAAAAAACGTTTTGGATTTTTCGACTATTATATTCAAACAATCTATTTTTCTATTTTTGGGCGTCAAAATCAAAAAATTTCAAAAATCCGAGATACCAGTTTTATAGCCCTGTCAATTCTACAGCTTTTATGTCTTTATAATTTTTCTGTATTTGTAAAGCTATAGGCCTGACAGCTCTTCCCGCGAAACCCTTTTTTTGGGTCGAAAACGACAGAACATGACGTCACTCTGACGTCATTTCCGGCCAACCTATCATAGTCTTTGGAAAAAATTTTGGTCACAATGTGTAAAATTGATGTCCGGGAGGGTACTGAAAGTTTGGCGACGATCGGCGCAGCAGTTCTGTAGATATATCGAAAAGTCTGGAGGGGGGGAATAGCCCCCCCCCCCCCCACCAGGGCGCGGGTTAATCATTGCAATCATCATTGCACCGAAAGGCGAAAAAAGTGAGACTGAAATGCTAACGCACAATTTAAATTGAATAGGGCAGACTTCATTAACGTTTCCTGTACTATTGCATAAAATATGCCACAACGCACGCACACAAATTTATTACGTAGCTCTTCAAAGGCGTGTACTTTTTAATAAGCCATCCAAGGGAGTTCGACGACTGAGGCATGATCCCTAAAGATCTTTGCGAACTGGTACCCGAAACTCGTCCCATTGCCACCACAGCACGACAGAAGAAATCCAAAAACGCGACCGGCCGTGAAGAACGACCACCAGCACATCAGCTTAACCTTCTGCCGCTTTTGCCGACAACAAACTTCAGCGCACGCCACGCTAAATTATTCAACACACATGCAGTTTTTAGATGTTTATGAAGCCCTGAGCTCAGAAAGCAGCAAGGAGGCCTCAGAAGTCAGAAAGCTGCAGCGTGGAATGAGCCGAGATATGTGCAACATTAAATATATGAGCTTAAGTTTTTGTAATAAATGTTTGAATCTAGTTACAGTCAAGGTGAGAGGCACTGAAAATGTAGCGGCATAACATTCATGCCTTTAATCAATTCTGTAAAAACGAGAAGCGAGGGCCTCTTTGCCTCTTCCTCTTCGCCCTTCCCCTTTTCTCCTGGAGACATCTCTTCCCAACACGCTGGGATCACGCTGACCTCACCCCCTTCTCAGTTCTCGCTGCGCTGACCTCCCCCCGACCAGGCCGTGCTGACCTCTAACCTCTGACCCCACCTCCTTCTCAGCCCGCGCTGCGCTGACCTCACCTCCCCCCCCCCCCCCCGACCAGGCTGTGCTGATCTCTGACATCTGACCTCACCTCCTTCTCAGCCCGCGCTGCGCTGACCTCCCCCCCCCCCCCCCCCGACCAGGCTGTGCTGACCTCTGACCTCACCTCCTTCTCAGTCCGCGCTGCGCTGACCGGGACCGCCGTTCGGGCGCCATCCACCGCCGCCCGAGGGTCGAACTCCGGCAGCTGGTACTTGTTGGTGGCCGGCTGACCTGGCGGTGCAGGTTTACACGTGGTTAGTAAGTGCCACAGCAGTCCACTCGGACCCACCAGGGACGGTCAGACACAGTCAGTGACAGTGAGAATATGGTGATACCGGCAACTGACTCGTGCCATGCACGCTGAGCATAACGGGAAATTAGCATATCTTCCCGAAAAAAGAAACAGACAGAGTAGATACCAGACACGGGGATAATGCCAAGTAAACTAATCACAGTACTACACGATCCAAAGTAAGCTGCAGATAATGAATTACAATGTACTAATTCAACATGTTCAAATACCTAATTCAACATTTATTTGTTCATTGTCACTAGCACCAATGACTCACCGAGGAACAGCTCTTCAGGCGTGTAGAACCGCAGTCCCACATTGATGGCGAACAGACGATCGGAGCACGAGAAGTCCTTTTTCTTCTTGGGTGCCCAGCCCTCTCGGCGGCCGGCCGCGTCTCCACAGTAGAAGCTCTCCTTCATGTTAATGGTACGCGATCCGTTTTCCTGCGTGACGATCGGAACGATCACGTCTGTGAACTCCACAACTGCAGCGATGAGCATTTCACAATCTGAAGTTTCTTTCCATAATTGACCCATCACCTGGAGACAACATCAAGCCTATTTACTCATTTAAATTTAGAAAAAAAAAACGCGATGCTTGTATTATCTCGAATAACCGAGTTAGCATACTTGTCAACCCAATTTTATAACGATGAAAAAACCTGTAACAAAACTAGTCAGTGGAAATTACCGTTTTGATCAGGTACTCCCACATCCCGGGCCGCGGTTTTCGGTACCAGCGGTCGCCGGGCGAGATGAGACACTGCACCGGCACACCCAGCCGACCGGTGATGTTCTGCAGCTTGTGTCGCAGGTCCTCCGGCAGCAGCTTCCGCTTGCTGATGCCGAGCTGTCGGAGAGGAAGGCACGCCGTCAGGTGGCTTGGAGTCGAGAGGGGGGAGGGCAGGCGACTGCGAGATACGGTATGCGCGTGACCGTACCACAGCGCAGTTGTAAGATTATCCGCCGGATAATCTGTTGGACAGCAACATGCATTCAGTTAAACGTACTTCGATGACAAACAATGATATCGTCAAAAAAAAAAAAAACGAAAGGGCATACATCCCGGTTCCCTGAAAAGGTCAAAGAACTTCTAAAATTTATTCACCTGATTTGTTAGAAAAACAATCTTGAAGCCGCTTTTGCTGAGTTCTTTCAGCTTTCTGGGCACATCTGGGTAGATGATCTGCCAGTCGTCCCTGTCTTTGGCGAATGTTTTGCCCGACTTGGTCGTTATTATCGTTCCGTCCAGATCGAACGCCGCTATCTGAAACAGGTAAAACCGCCCACGTTTATAAAAGTGCTAGAATCCAACAGAAAGGGAAACTGGAGAGCCTGTCCCAACACAACATGCCTTTTTGTTTGCTTGTTTATTGGAGCTTTGGGGCGCGTCCACTAAAATTACGGGCTTTTGCGCCCAACATGCCTTTTTGGCGCGTTATCTGTATCGTTACCTATTTCAACAGTTTCGATAGATCTTCGAATGACACTACGAATGTAAAGCAAGCATATCAAAGTTATCATTGACAAACAGTAAGCTCCGCAACCACGAACGAGCGACAAACCTTCGAGGACGGCTTCACTCCTTTGGTGACAAACATCAGCAGCTGGTCGTTCTTTAACGACGTCCACTGTTCCGCGAGGGTCTCCTGTTCCTCGCCATCAGACTGCTCCCTTGACCCCTCCTCGTCCGATCCGGTGGCCAGGGCACCGTCCGGGCGAGCCCTCTTCGGGGACGGAGCCTCCGCCGGTCCCGCCGCCCGTTTCAGACCACTGGGGCTGTCCCGACGGGCGGTGGAGGACCCCGAGGCGGTGGTCGGCGGCGGCAGAAAGTTCACCGCGAACCGATGCTGTCCGCTGAGCAGCTCCAGAGAGTCTCCGTGCCGCAGTGACACGGATTGGCCCTGAGGCAGCGGCCGGCCGAGCGCCGCCGACGGGTTGGCGCCGAGGGTGCGCACCAGGACCGTGCCCGACGACAGGTCGACGTCACACTCAACTGTGGGTAAAAATAGTAAATGGAACTGAGATATGTGATCACTTCACCTGCAACCTTCATCAAATTTACGCTTATTTTGTTGCTATAACAATCATTTGACAAGACAAATACTCTCAAAATAAGTCTAGCCTTATATCTGCTTTGTTCCAGACAGCAAAGCATGACAGGTCATGGTGTGTCAAAAGTGGAAATAGCCGCCCGGCTTTAGTTCGCCAGCCTTGTCAATAGATGGCAGTACCACAATATGGGCAGCAGATCGTGCAATTGACGTCAAATTTTCGTTATCTGCTAAGAATTGAATGGCGGATCTTTTCATGCAAAAATCAAGTAAATCGGTACACAACTTTTCTAGCAACAGAGATATGAAGTCAAACACCCTGCCAGAGCGGCGGCGCGGCGGCCGGCGGCGGCCGTTACGCGCCGCCTGGGAGACTGCCGGCGCGGGACGGTCCGACTTGGCATTGCATTTAAACCTGTCAACTGCTTGGAATAGCTATTATAGCAAAATTTTCATTCAAGTGAGGAATAACCATGGGCAGGAAGTATGTATGCTTGTGTGCGTACTGTGTAAGCTAAGAAACTGCACTAGCAGATACTCGCTAATATTAGATCCAGCCAAGTCCAAACGCATTCCAAGGGATGTGTTTCTGATGGGTCAATAATGTTTATCGTTCGAGGGCGGATACAGTTTAGACAATACAAAAAATATTTTTGCACAGCTCTATTCCTTGAATAATTCTCTTCAACGCCTCATTCCTAGTTAAGCGAATTAGCCCATCCTGGTTGAATAAATTAGGCGATTTCGCCACAAGGTCGCGGAAAACCGACCGAAAACGACCGCGCTCAACGTTAATTTGGGCATGCAGACTCTTAAAAACTCGCATTGGGCGGGTAGGGTTTCCCAGGTATTGCCTCCAAAACACCGTATTCCGCTCCCGAATACGTCCAAGTGACCCGCCTCGTTCCTAGTTAAGCTCTAATTAGATCAAGTGACTCATAAGGAGCGAAAAAGCGACAAAAAGCATGAATTTCCCTATGGCGGCGGGCTGCCGGGTTGCCAGACGGCGCACCGGCTATTTCCTTTTTTGACACACCATGTTAATAACATCTTGTAGTGTTGCATGCTCAGCTTATTAGGGTGACAGGTGTCATTTATGAGCTTTATTGGCAAGCACATATGGTTGATTTTAGAACACAAATGCCAAGGCCATTGGCTATTGCTATGTAACTGCTAAAATTATTGGTGAATATCAGGCTATACCAGGCCTAAAAAAATTACAATCATGGTTAGTCATAATCTTTCAAGCAAAGCCCATTCTTTGAGATAGGGACCTCAGGAGGAGCAATGGCAGATTTCACACAAATCAGTGCAGGTCCACCATAAAACCAAGCTTGAGCTGACACCACTATGCTGGCACTATCGACCACTCTGAAAGACATGCTGCCTGGCGCCTGCTGGTGTTTAAGAGAATTCAGACCAGCCAGTGAGCAGTCGGACAAATTTCTATATCTTCTTCTAGCTGCTCAAGCTGTGGATGAAAAAAGCTGGCTCACATCTTTAACTGTCTCAATCCAGTTCATGTTCAATAATGCAGCAGTGTTCATACCTTGCTTCTTGGAGCAGCGCACATCTTTTATCATAGTCTCTCTTGACCTTCCAATGATTTGTTTTCCATTCACAAGAGGCACATTCACCCCATCTTTTCTCTTGAGTGTGCAACCAGAGAAGGACATTTTAATTTCCTACCAAGTCATTTAGGAAAATAAATGGGTAAGAACTTGAGTTGTAGATTGCAAGCCAAAGACGGAAATGTTTTCATTCAGCAAAGTGAATTATTGGAGGCCTGTGAAAATCGCCTGCAAAGTAGGTACCTATCCCAAAACACAGCATTTATCTCTTATACACGCCTTTAGCTTGAAACATCACATGGCTGACATGGCTTGAAATCTTTCAAACTGAAACCTGTTCCAAACACACGTGTAGTTTTATTTAATGCATCAAAAATCTACATCTATTACTATTCACCACTGAATTATAACAAAGACATAAATTTTGCACACACTTTGTTAACATATCACTATTTTCTGATACCATTAGCATGCATTTTATTTCGGTAGAAAATCGTGTCAACAAGAATAAATTGAACAAAAACTTTAACTTCATGTCCTCAGCAACAGATAATAATGCATCTGCAAGTAGAATGTCAAAATTGCAAACATAAGTCAAGTGCGAAAATAAAATATATAGTGCTAGCTCAGTATTTATGACATAGCTAGTTCTCATATCAGCTGTAAGCCTCCTTTTATTTTCTACATATCTGGCGCAGATGTGACAAACAAGCTGTTATGATTTTTGCTTTTGATCTAGTTGCCATGGTAATTTCATAGCAGCCTAATGTTAACATTCTATCTATCGGTGCTACTTCGAATCCCCTGAACACTAGTCACAGCGCAATGATTTTCGCGAGCACGGCCTCAGGCCTCAGCCTTGACAACAGACCCATAATTCCGAGGAAAACGCGCAAAAAACGCGTGAGAAGTCCTCGGTAACCGGGCCCCGGGGTCTGATACTGCCGGAGGGGCACATCAGGTTTCGTACCTATTTGTTTGGGAAAGACTGTGGTAAGTGTTGGTGTGGTGATAGATAGGGGATGACTGAGTGTGAATGTATGTAAATATGAACTGCTGACTGCTGGGCTGGAGTAGCAGGACCATCACCATGGCTATTTTCGTTACCAAGATAAATTAGCAAAACATTATTTTAACAGTTCAGGTAGGTAGGTACCTAGGTGGTAAATGTTGACATGAAATAGCATCAAAAGTGAAATGTAAAAAAATGTGCGCCAGTTATGTGTGTTTTGAAGAATTAATGTTTCGTTCACCATCTAATGCTATATCATGTGACCTTGCATGGTGTGTCAAAAGTGAAAATAGCCGCCCGGCTTTAGTTCGCCAGCCTTGTCAATAGATGGCAGTACCACAATATGGACAGCGGATCATGCAATTGACGTCAAATTTTCGTTATCTGCTAAGAATTGAATGGCGGATCTTTTCGTGCAAGAATCAAGTAAATCGGTCTACAACTTTTCTAGCAACAGAGATATGAAGCAAAACACCCTGCCAGAGCGGCGGCCGGCGGCAGCCGTTACGTGCCGCCTGGGAGACTGGCGGCGCTGAACGGTTCCGACTTGGCACTGCACTAAAACCGTTAACTGCTTGGAATAGTTATTATAGCAAAATTTTCATTCAAGTGAGGAATAACCAAGGGCAGGAAGCATGTATGGGTACCCGTCAAAATTCGTGGAGATTTGGGTCGATATTTGTCCCACAACTGATTTCCTAGAAATAATTACCTTTTCATAAACCATGCACCCTAGGCTGTTCACAGTTGAAATTATTCAAAAATGCCATTGCGCATGCGCGTAAAATGGTCCGTGACCCAGAAAAAATAAAAATTTCGTCTGGGTCACGCATTATCAAACCAGATACGTTCATTCACCTCATGCGCGATATAACCCCCTTATCGGCAATGACCTTCTCCACACGTAGGCGGAAAGACTTGCCTGTCTTGATGATGTAGGTGGGCAGAATTTCTCTTCTGGGTCACGATTTTTTTTCCTGGGTCACGCTAAAATTCGTGACCCAGAAGAAAAAAATGCGTGACCCAGGGGAATGTTTTTTACAGTTTTCCGAATATGGCAAGTTTGTTATCGAATACTAATCTCCAAGTACATCTTATCTGGAGTACCTGAGCACGCAGCAACACGACACTGTGATTCTTTTCGACACTTACCAGCCACAAGCCACAAGGGCGTGTGACCCAGAATAAAGAAATCTTATGGCACGCAGGAGATGATTTCCCCTGGGTTCGCCCAGCCCAACTGACAGTTTTCAGTTTCCGCCCCCGCTCTCTGCGCCTTCGCGGGATAGGACCATATGCAAGTCTGCAGACCCTGCTTACCCGGTCCGTAATGCTTTGAATGAGGAGCTAAGTACCGTGACCCAGAAACAAACGTGACCCAGAAAAAAGTTTGCCAAAAACCGTGGGACAGACGTTTTTGCGCTGTGCAGTTTTGCTAAATTGTATAACCAAAAAATAAGAACCATGAAGAGAAATTTCAATGTTTTTGCTATTCACAACGCTCCCTCGCGCTCAATTATCTCTAAAAATAACTACACAGCAGCTCTGTAGATTTTTTTCGCAGGTTGTGGGACAAGCTAAAATACATAGGCACACAAAAGCACAGTTTTGGAAAGATGTCCAATTTTTTTTTTTGCCACTTTGCTGTTGCCTTTTCAATGATTTTTTTCTTCAATCAAATGTCCAAATCTCGCGTACGGACCCGTGTTACGCTGAAATAAGCTCATTTATTGACGTGAGGCATTATTGAAATCGTGGGACAGCATATCTCCACGAATTTTGACGGACACCCGTATGCTTGTGTGCGTACTATGTAAGCCAAGAAACTGCATTAGCAGATACTCGCTAATATTAGATCCAGCCAAGTCCAAACGCATTCCAGGTGATGTGTTTCTGATGGGTCAACAATATTTATCGTTCGAGGGCGGATACAGTTTTAACAGTACAAAAAATATTTTTGCACAGCTCTATTCCTTGAATAATTCTCTTCAACGCCTCATTCCTAGTTAAGCGAATTAGCCCACCCTGGTTGAATAAATAAGGCGATTTCGCCACAAGGTCGGGGAAAACCGACCGAGAACGGCCGCGCTCAACGTTAATTTGGGCATGCAGACTCTTAAAAACTCGCATTGGGCGGGCAGGGTTTCCCAGGTATTGGCTACAAAACACCGTATTCGGCTCCCGAATACGTCCAAGTGACCCGCCTCGTTCCTAGTTAAGCTCTAATTAGATCAAGTGACTCATAGGGAGCGAAAAATCGACAAAAAGCAGGAATTTCCCTATGGCGGCGGGCTGCCGGGTTGCCAGACGGCGCACCAGCTATTTCCACTTTTGACACACCATGGAAAGCTGAGAGGAAAATTTACCCTGGTTTTCAAGGAAATATACCACTTCACATGGGTTTTTTAACTGAACTATCAGTTTTGTAGCTTAAGGTGAGACAAAAACAAATCAGTACCTAGCTTTTACAGCCCAATGATCACCCTAGCCAAAGTTACCTCTACTGATCTTAGTTCCAAAATCATGCCCTTATGAAGGAATGCATTCCCTTACTGAAGCATGCCAAGAATGTAGCCACCTGTGGCAGAGGCCAATCATCAGACAATCAGCATGCTGCTGGTTTGATTGAACTATGTAATATGGTTGATCAACACATAATCAGCTTCTGCTGCCAACACTGTTTATTAGCCTATACCAAAGATGGAAAGTAGTTCTTCCTATTTCATTTAAGAGCATTACAATGCTTTGTAAATGTTCATTATTTTCTTTTTTTGTCATTTCAAGCATGTAGTGAAAAACATTTCATAAAATTGGTATATTCCCTGTAAGATAAAGTGAAAGCAGCAGCCAGCAATGAACTTGTCATTGCTGAACTGGACACTGGTAATTGTTAGGCACTATAGAATCATTGTGACATTGATAATTGTAAATTGAATGTCACAATAAACGCCTTAAAACGCCCAAAAGGCGTTTTAAGGCGTTATATAGTTATTGTATTTATTTATCTATGGGGCAATTGATGTGTAGATATCTAAATTTAGCTGATTTTAATTCATTCAATAGTTATTAAGCTATTTTATTTGTTGAGCTGTTCAAATTGAAGTGTTATTTAAAGCTAATGATTAAAGGAAAAACAATTACAGCTGAGCTGTTCTTTACAATCCTGGAGTAATGATTTACCAGAAGGGTGGCCTGCCCATGCCCAAGTCACTTTGGGCTCATTTTGGACTTTCAAATGAATTAATTGGAATGTAATGAAACAATCATTAGAGCTGGCAGACCAATGATTTAATTGCGCTGCAGCAAAGGCTGTGTCTGACACACGATGACAGACCTGCATGTGCTAATTGAGCCAGCAGGCAGTATTGAGCTCTGCACTTGTGCTATGCAATATGCATACACAGAAGCATTATAATGAGTGCTGGGAGTGGTATGCTTTATTCTGCACACTGACATGACTGATAATTGATTTCATTGAACTTCAGTTGGATATATGTACCTAACCCTTTCCTGTTTATTTCAGATACTTACAAAGGTAGCAGTTTGCTGAATACTGCTGATTTAGAGATGATTAAGTTTATTGTAAGTACCTCCTTGTCCTGGCATATGAAATTAACTTTTCCTATATGGCAAACTAGGCTGATCTTACCATGACAACCAGCTTTTGCTAGCAATTATCTTCTGGTTTGAGAAAATCACGTCCGCGTGGGCTCCGCAGCCAAGGGGGATGGGGCTAGACAGGGAAGGGGTATAAACTTGCATCCATAATTGTATTGCTTTTATTTGCAGGAGATACTAGATAGTAGATAACGTGATGATCATGATGGCATGTTGCCTTTACCTACGGCTATGGATATCGGCGATTGCATGGATATTGATAATCGTAAATCAGAAGGACTGAAATCCTTACACACAAAAAGATGGTTAGGTATTGTCCCACTCCCACCAATGGAAAAAAACGTAAATATTATAGACCGATGTTCACTATTTCAGCTTGGTACAGTCTGAGGCGTAAAGATCGTAACAGAGTGTAATCCTATAAAGTCCTCTGGGGCTGCTGTTGTCTGTGTTGCTGCTAGCTGATGCTGATGTTGCCTAGTTAGACTCCGCAACCCTATCACGTTGTCCCTTTTGCCGCCCGGTCCGCTCCTCCGGACCATGCCTCGCTGTCAGTGTGAGTTGTGCGCCCCCCCCCCCCCTCCCGCGGCATTCCGACCCCGGTATTTCTGGCGGCAGTGCCGCGGGCTATTTGGGTCAGCGCGCGGCAGCGTCGGCGCCGGCCGACGGGCAGGAAGTCACGGGCTCGGACACGCGCTCTGCGCTAGTAGTAGTGCCACGGAGAGACTTGGAAGGAGAGGCGGGACATAGTGATTCACCGACCGAACCACCAACCACGGGTCATGACCCGCGTGTGACCGGTGACCCGGCCGTCGCCCGGTGACCTCTGGTGACGGGCGGGACACTCGGAGTGGTGCAGGATGGTGCTGGTGCTGCTCTACGACCTGGTGATGGTCGGCTTCATTGCCGCCCATTTATTAGTAGGTGGCGCAGTAAGCACACACTTTTCCTCCGCTGTGTTGGCTCGCACTTTCCCTCTCGTCTCGTCGTCTGAATAGGCTATGTGGGCACTTAGCATAATCCATCTCCCCGACCACAGCTTGTTTTTTAAGATTTTAAGTCAGATGAACTGAACTATTGGAAGACACGCCAAGAACAGACGCAATGTATCGACCATTTATTACCTTCTTTTTTTCTAATGGACTAGTGAAGTAAGAAACTGCAGCCCATTTTCCAGACCGTTTGACTTTTTTTCGGTAACATTAAGTTGTGGATGCAGACGAACGCAATGTCATGGAAGTATCAGAACCTTTTTTTTACCTGACAAGGCCACTCCTAGCATTTTCTCGTCTGCAACAGTCGGCAGACATTTTTCTTTCTTTTCTCTCACTGCTCACATCTACGAATCGAACACCTTTAGGGTGTGCCGTCACCCCATCCGCCTTCGGGCCGTTACGGATAGGAAAATGACTAGCTTCAGCGGGAGTAAAAGCGAACCGGGTTGCAAATGGCCCCATTCTCGGCGAGCGTTACGCTACCGGGCGGCCGGTGCTGGGCTTGGCAGCCGTCCCTGCCTTAATCACCCCGTAATACCGACCGGCTGGCGGTGACCCGTCTCAGCAGCGGCGGAAGAGGGAGGGAGGGGTGCTTCCGGGGAGGCGCGCTCCTCTAACCGCGTTATGTGAGATCACCACAATCCCTGCTCTGCTGCTACTCATGTGCCCAAGGCCTAATTACCCAAATCCAGAGCCCGCCATTGGGGTCGAATAGTTGGACACGCCCGATGAACTAACGCAATCCCCCCCCCCCCCCCATACCCCCATACGGCCTCAGTGTGGTCAAAGTATGAAGTATGAACCTTATTGATTAACTGATACCGACGGTATTCGCCGAAACCATGCCTTACTATCGACTGTGTAACTAACCATACTCTCTCTCTCTTTTCAGCTAACTTTTGGAGCCGGCGTTTACGCTGGCATCTACGCCTGCCAAAATTACAATGTAAGTATGTACCCTACGATTCGTGTAACATCAGGAAAACAGCGCGGGACCGCGGCTGGGCACCAGATAGCAGCAGTGTGCGCCACGCCTAGCGGGAGAGACTTGGGATGTTGTCACCTCGTTGGACCGAGGTCGATACGCCGATGCAGCAGCCCCAGTCTGTTATCGCCTCTGCGGCCGAAACTGTCTACCGCCTATCGGCCGAGGTCATTGATAAGATTGTAGCGGATTAACTTCACATTCTCATGCGTTACGCGTGTCTTATCGACCTAAAATGTAAATGGTCGAAGAGTGATTTTTTCTCGAAACGGTTCGTGGATGGGACCCCTATGCCTAACTTATTACGATCAATGCGCTAAAATACCTCGCTAACTTTTTCCACCTTAGCAACAGTGCTTCCGTGCGTCACCAGCTGACTGCGAACTTATCGACAGATCGTCTGTGCGTTTAATATTGTGTCTGACAGATTTGTATTACTTTTTTCCTCAGATCCCGCGGGTCGATGATCCATCAGAAATAATGGACAAAGTTCGAGAGTTCACCGACAAATACAAGAAGAATTGATATGGTGAGTAACTGTCATCTTGCCGAAGGCGCTTGAAAATAGTGCAATCAGATGTATTGTGAAGAAAAGGTCGGTCGCAAAGGGAGGTACTTTCGGTGATTGCCTCTGTTTGAGAATAACTGCACCGTTACGAAACTGCAGACGCCATACTCTGTTTGTAGTCTGAACATGCTAGCCTAGTTCGAAAGCTGCACGTCTATAAATCGATAGTGTATGATTCTGTGGTTAAAAAATGTGAGCTCCGAACCGTGTGTAGTTCGCGCGGTCATCACCGCAATGACAGCGCATTGACAGTCCGTTCAGTTGCGATGGTTATCTCTGTAGTAAGTATTGCTTGCCTGACAGCGCCCTCCCTCCGCTCCCGCAGGAGCCGTTTTAGCACCTGGCTGGTGCAGCAGCCGGTGAAGGACCGTGGAGTCTGGTCCGAAGCCGACCGCACCAGCCAGCCGTCAGACCCCGTGTATTCCAGTGTGGCAGATCAGTCAACTGCCGGAGACAGCGCCCCGATCGAATGAAGCTCCTGCCGTGATCACCGCCGCGTATATAAACACTGTTTGGAACTATGACGTGTATTTTCATGTAAATAGAGCAGTATCCACTGACGAACGAAGGTGTCTGGTGGATGAACGGTGACCGGCGGCGCGCCGGCCCGCGCGGTGGCGGCGGCGGCCGGCGCGCGTGGCCCCTTGCTGATGACGGATGACGGCGGTGGTCGGTGGCGGGCCGGACGAACGGTGCGATGACGAGCCCAGAGACCGGGCGCCGGCGTGGCGCCATCTCTGTCCGTCCGTCTCTGGGCGCACTGCGGTGTGCTCACTGGTTGTACGTCGGCACTGATAGTCCGCCGAGCCACACACATTCGTGTCCCATCGCCCGGCCGTGCGCGGCCGCACCTCAGTCCTCTCTCTCACTCTCTCTGGCCTCTCGCCTCCCGGGCTCCCGGCTCGCACATTCCCGTCGGTCACACACGTCTGGCGCACGCCTCTCCCTCACTCCCGGCACCTACTGGCCGGAGAAGCGGACGTCAGAACGACCAGCAATGTGCACCTGAAAACGAACAGCGTCATACCAGCTTACCTCCTCGGCGCGGCGGCAACCCGACCGACCAGTCAGACTAGCACTCCAACCCCGGCAGTGGACTACTCTCGCACTCAAACCTGAAATCGTGATCTCCAGTGCACTCGGAAAAGGCGACGGCTTCTCGCCGCACGCCCAATTCAAAAGCGACCACCTACAACTTACCTGTGTTCAGGAACGTCTGACGACGCTACGAAAAACTCGACACACGCTCACTTGCGCGCTATGGATAAAACAAACTGGGGGGTGGGGGGGATGTCGCGGGCATTACGGTGTGCTCCGACGAGGCCGGTGCGTGGCGGCGGCCCTGGTGGGTGGTCTCCGCGGCACGGCGGCCGTCGGTTGTCCGCTGAGCGCTGGCGGTCGGCCGCTCTATCTCCTGCGGCGGTCCCGGTCCCGATCGGCCGACCGCGACCGGGAGCGGCTGCGGCGCGACGCTGCCTGGATGGCCTCCAGCCGCTTCTGGCGCTCGGCCATGCGCTGCCGGCGCTGCCGCTCCTTCTCGGCGATCTGCTCGGCGGTCAGCGGCAGCCAGTAGATGCACGGCGTCGCCTTGGTCTTTCGGAACAGGTCGTCCAGCAGTTTGGCTGGCGCCTCCTCCTTCTGCCGTTTCTCTGTCGGAAACAGGGTACAGATAGGTCAAATCGGTGCCATGGTGGCAGGACGAGAGCCCGAGCGAGCGTCCACAGCCTGTAGACACTGGATGATCAAGTTGAAACACATGCCTATAAACCTTCAACGGTAAAAACGCGATTTACCAGTAACCGTAAATATCACAAACACGATGGGAAGTCTAAATCGTGCAGCTGCGACCGCCGAGCACAAACTTCTGTCGCATTTCCAACGGCCATACCGTTCAAACACGCAGCATCTCTAATCCCTATAGTGCCAACTGGTGCTCACTCACCCTTGCGCTCCTCTTTGTCGGCGGCTGTGGCAGGGCTCCTGCTGCGCCGCTTCCGACGCTCTGTCTCCTCCTCGCGCTCTCTCCGGCGCCGCTCGCGCTCGCGCTCCTTCTCGCCGGGACTGGTCTCGCCGATTTTCACCTTATCCCACTCCCGTACCGATTCGCGCTGCAAAAGAACCGGCGGTTAAAGGTCATTTGAGAGACAGACACTGACATTTAGAGGCACTGACGCATACACGGTAAGGAAGCAAACATCAGTCTCACACCAGTTTATCTTCCTTTTCAAATTGATCCACCCCGATGCCCCCCAAATATGATGCCCCAACCGAGCTACCTACCCGTTTCTCCCTGACGGTCTCTGCACGCAGCTCCTCCTGCTGGCGCGTGGCGAAGTACGGGTCCACCTTGAGCGGCTCCGTCTTTCTGGGGATCTGTTCAGTGAGCGCCTTGTGGAAGTCGAGCTCGTCGGCCGTCGAGAAGTCGACCATGAGCTTCTTGGGGTTGGAGGGCGGCCAGCGCACGCCGTGGAGCGCAGTGCGCGTCTCCACCGCCTCGGCATCTGTCTCGTACTGTTGGAGGGGAGGGGGCGTCAGACACTGATCACTGCACACGGGGCTGGTAATCACATGGGTGGTGTCTGCTCGTCCAATTCAAAACAAAAACACTTATGTCAACGGCTTGAATTAACTACTCGCTTACTAAAGAACGGGATTGGTACATATAACCGGGAACTGCCTCACCGTTCAACTAAAGGCGGCCACTTATCCTCCGAGTTGCCAAAGATGGCTACAATCTACCCAGCCACCGGATCCCGTCAGCTTACGGCTGTCCAAGATCTATCAGTTCAACTTAGCCACTGAATACCCTGCGAGTCAGCTCACCTGGCAGTAGCACTTTGACTTGATGTTGTCGATCCAGAAGTCGGCGATGTTGCCCGTGCGCGCCAGCAGCTCCTTCAGCTGGTTCACGGTGAACGGCCGCACCAGGTTACGGATGTGGATGACGCTGGAGGCAGAGTTCCGTGCAGGGGACGGCTGTCGCTCGATGCGCGGCGGCCGCCGGCCCGGCTGCGGACCGCTCTCGGCGCCGCCGGGTACGTCCTGCCGGGCCCGGAGGGATTGGAGGGTTAGGCGAGTCACGAGCGCACTATGCGGGCCCGAGCAGCAGCTGGTGGCGAGCTGGAGGGATGCCGCCGGCCTTTGGTTGTCAAGCGTGTAATTAATTTATGTAATGACTACATACAGAACGTATTGTACAGGGTAAAATATGACCCACAGACAAATTAACCATCATTCATTACAAGATAGCATCTGGCTGTTCTGCTCGTTTTCGCTCCTTTATATCAATTTTATCTGTCCCTAGTCCCCTCCGCGCTAGCCGGTCCGTCCCTGCTCTACGTTCACCAGCCAGCTCACCTGAGTGACTGTTCGCTTGATGAGGGGCGGCGGCGCCGGGCCCTCCTCCTGCGGGCTCTGCGGCCGGCCGTTCTCCGGCGCGGCGGCGGCGGTCTCCGCGGCGGGAGAGGGCGAGCGACTGCCGGTGGGCGAGTCGTCTCGGCGCTCTCCCTCCTCCTCCGACTCCGACTCGAGTCGGACGGCCTCCTCCGAGAGGGGCCGCACGTCCGGCACCAGGTCCTGGCGACACGGTGCGAGACAGACGGTCATCACACAGCTCAAACAGACGCTCAGCCCCCGCAGTCACTCGCCATCCCCTTCAAACACTCAGCCTCTTCTTACAGACCCGTAAGACCTCCACAAGCCTGCCAGTGCCACCCCTTCCCCGTATGGGCTATCAGCCAAGGAAAACCGTTAGCCAACGCACAATACCAATTATCAGGTATGCAGCTCCACCAAAACTACGGTAACACGAACTGGCTTCGACACATATTACGCTGAATTCAGCAAAACGCCCCAATTTCACCTGTTTGCCCGGCGTCCTGTGCCACGTACCCTGAGTGAATCTGTCGATATGCTGACTGGCTTTTTGTCGCCGTCCGGTCGCGCCGCGCCCCAGCGTCGGCGCCGCTTCTCGCCGGGAGCAGCCTCGCCGCCGTCCTCGGGCCGTCGCCGGTCCCGCTTCAGGGAGACTGGTGACACGAGAGAGGTGTCACAGTCAGTCACGGACAGTGCAATCACGAGCCACGACAGGCACAGTCGTAAGAGACAGCCTCGGATATCTCTTTATGTTCAATCTTGCGACGTTAAGGAGGAGCCGGGTGCCATAATTACACTTTGTTGTAACAATTATTAGGCTTAGACGAAGGCTATTCCGATAGTTCGGGTCGCTGTTATACTGTTTAGGCTGTTGCACTACTGCCACCTAGGTTATCGTATTGTGCTGAAGGTGAACCAAATGCAACAAAGAAGCAGATAAACGTGACAGAACGAAACGAAATAAAAAGATCATTGCATAGGTGAATATGCAGGACCTTTCTAATGTCGTGTTCTGCTGTCCCGCTCAGTGTCCTGCCCCGGTCCGGGCCCGCTCGACTTACCGAGTCTGCGGAAGGTGGGCGCCGGGCCCGCGGCGGGCGCCGACGTCTCTGTCGACTCCGGCTGCTTCTCCGGGGTCCGCTCCGGCTGAGTCTCCGGCTCCGGGGCGGCTGGGGGCGCCTGGACGGGCGAGCGGCGCCGCTCCCTGCCCCGACCACGCTCCGAGTCACTGCTGGAGGCCGACCTGCCGGCAGGGGAGAGAGGGAGTGGTCAGCCGGCGACAGACGGCTGAGGCGGCTCGGTAGGCGAATCAGTGCTCAAAACAGATCGTTATGATAGAGTGACCAGAGCAAAACGCAAACGATGGGCGTATTTGAGCAGTGGTTTAAACGCTAGACATGTGGAGAAGTCTGTTAACTGATTAAAAAATGTATATACAAATCATTGGATACCTAATATTACCTACACTTTATCAGCTGATCCGTAATCGAGCATTGAAGTCGTACATACCTGTCACGGCGGCTCCTCTTCCTTGGACTCCCCTCGCGCCTCGAGACTGGTGCCGTGTCATCAGACTTGCTGACAGACTCTCTGTGAAAAGAGTGAATGGGACAGGTGCTGAAATGGTCTTGAGCTGTTAAAGCATACCGCTAATTAGTCACTTGTCAGTCAAGTAAGTAACCCTCAATCTTGTAGAAAAATGGAGATCATCTTCTAATTACGACACATAGTGGAACACGATGACCGAGTCAAAACTTAGTAAAATCGGCACCGCGTCGTGAAAGGGAGAAAGAAACACGCCCAACTGTAGGAATGAGTCAGTCGCCCGTCACTTACTTTTTGTCTCCGGTGCTGGAGTTCCGTTTCAGTTTGAGTTTTCGCTTCTCTTCCTTCTTGAGAGGCTGTGCTTCTTCTTGTTCCCGTGAGGATTCCTTCTTAGAAGTATCCTCTGCACCCTGTTCCGGCTTCTTTTTGTCACCGTCAGCCTCAGAAGCGGCCGCTTTAGTGACAGCTTCGCCGTCGTTCTGTGAAAGGAAACGCCGGAAATCGCGGTCATCGAAAGTCGGCAACATGTGCGAAATGCTCTGGAAGAAGGCACCTTTGTAGCATTAATACAATTTTATCAGCTAGAATAAGGCAAAATACCGAAGGTCGTTGTAAGCTTTTCATTTAGAAATTAACGTTTGCGAAATTAACATGTCACGAAATACTCTGCTACATCACAAGTCTGATAGACCAACCGCTGTAAGTCCGCTCACAGTACCGGCATCACACCCCGCCGCAGTAAACACTCACCTGAGCCGGCGCGTCGGAGCTCCAGAAGGCGGCGGCTTCCCTCCACTCTCCGTCCTCCAGAACCATCTCCTCCGCCGACGGAGGCCGCTCGCCGGAGTCGCGCCGCCCGCGCCGCTCGGAGGAGTCGTGACGGGAACGGCGACCATCGGACGGCGCGCCCGAGCCCGACCGGTGCCGCTCGCGCTCCTTACGATCGCCCGAGTCGTGCTTCTTACGATCGCCCGAGTCGTGCTTCTTACGATCGCCCGAGTCGTGCTTCTTACGATCGCCCGAGTCGTGCTCCTTACGATCGCCCGAGTCGTGCTTCTTACGATCACCCTTCTCGCGCTCACGCTCCTTGCGCTCGTCCACCTCGCGCTCTTTACGATCGCTTGAATCGCGCTTCTTATGGTCCACTGGCTCCCGCGCATGTTCTTTGCTGTCGCCCGCCTCTCGCTCACGCTCTTTACGATCGCCTGATTCGCGCTCACGCTCCTTACTATCTTCCGCCTCACCTTCGCGCTCCTTATGATCGGCTGAATCGCCCTTCTTACGCTCGCCTGAATCGTGTTTCTTACGCTCGCCTTTCTCCCGCTCGCGCTCTTTGCGCTCGTCCGTATTGCGTTCTTTACGATCGCTTGAATCGCGCTTCTTACGCTCGCCTGAATCACGCTCTTTACGATCACCTGCCTCGTGCTCCTTACGATCACCTGATCCACGCCTCTTACGATCACCTGAGTCACGCCTCTTACGATCACCTGATTCGCGCTTTGAATCGCGATCCGGAGAGTGAGGTTCCTTGGATGCGGGAGACTTGTCCCGCTTTGCCTCTGAGGAATCAGCAGGCTCGTTGTCATCATGCTTGTCGTTGCTAGACGACTTTTTGGAATCAGTTCTGTCGTCCGAGCTTTTCTCTGTGTGCTTTCCTTCAGACTTGTCGGAACGCTTATCATCGGCGTCGATCGACTTCGATCGGCGGTGTCCTTTCCTGTCCGATTCCTTATCGTCCGCCTTCTTTCTCTCGGCCTCTTTTCGTTCCCTCTTCTCTTCCTCCTTCCTCCGCTCTGCCTCTTTACGCTCCTTCCGCTCGTGCTCTTTCCTCTCTTCCTTCTTGGCTTTCCTTTCAGATTCTTTTTCGCTTTCCTTCTTCCGCTCAGCTTCCTTCCTCTCCCTTCGTTCGGCCTCTTTCCTTTCCTTCCTCTGAGCCTCCTTTTCTTCGTCCCTCTTTCGTTCCATTTCTTTTCGTTCTTTCCTTTCGGCCTCTTTCTTTTCTTCCTCTCTTTTTCTTTGTCTTCGTTCCTCTTCCTTACGCTCTCTTCTGGCCTCTTTGTCTTCTTCGCGGTGACGGTCACTCTCCTTTTTCTTTTCAGACACGTCCTTGGCTTTCTTCTCTCGTTTATCTGTCTCTTCCACTTCCTTCAGTTTCGGTTCCTTAACCTTAGTTTCATCTTTCTCCTCTTTGCCCTTTCCTTTCCGCTCAGCCTCAGTGTTGTCTTCTTTATCAGACTCCTTCTCTTCCTCAGTCTCTTTGGTTTTACCCTCATCCTTCTTTGGTTCAGCTTCTTTTCGGGTTTCTTTTACTTCCTTCTCCGTCTGTTCCTCCTCACCCCCGGCCGTCTTGTCTCCGTCGGTCACCGCCTGGGGTCCCTCCCCGGTCCCGTCCGGCTCAGCGGGCGGCACCTCAGTGTCGCTGTCGCCGCTCTGCTGGCTGACCGAGACGCGGCCGCCCGAGCGCCGACTGCGGCGCCGCTCCGGCGTCTCCTCGCCGTCGGCAGAGTCCACCGAGGCCGTGTGGCGCCGCGAGCGGCGGCTCGGCGCCGGAGACGGAGGCGCCTGCAAGGAAAACAGCGTCACACGGGAGCGACATCATTCGACCCAGTTACGTGACGAAACATACACGTGTTTCACTGCAAACGGTTTACAATGATTAAAATAAAGGCCCACCTCGGTTAGGCCCACCTTCTATATAAAACATAAATGACGTAAAATGATCGGCAGACGTACCTTCTCCTCCGATTCTGGTTTCTTAAACGACTGGTCGCGGGACTCGGGCGAATCTCCTGAAATGAAAGAAAATGAATGAGATAACGATACACAACTTATAGGTTAAAGCGCCATGTTGATATTAATGCGTGAAAATGATGACAAAGTGACAATCATAAACAAGATGAATAGCGAACAGACATGGACATTGCTAGTCAGGTGGCGTCATCCAGCAGCAGTATGGAATACAGCGTCCATCCAGCTAAGGACAGACGGCGACAATATCACTAAGTCCACGATCTGACAACCACCACCAGTCAGCTATCTCCGGCGCAGTAGCCGGAGCGAGTGCCCGCATCCCTACCTTTGGCGGCCGGCGTCGACTCCTGCTCCTCCTCTCCCTGGCTGTCGGCGCTCTCCGACTGCGACTGCTCACCTGCGAGACACGACCAGCGCGGTCACAGCTCGGCGAGCCACCACCCGCACACGGCGGCCGGACAAAACATACAGCCGGCCCTACTCACAACCGTACAGTGGCGGCACTGCTAACTGACTACACAAGCCAGGATTAATCATAAGAATAATTAGCTTCAACAGCAGTTAGAAATGAATTGTACAACTTTTAAGCCGATTTGGAAGAAGTTATAAGCAAGGAGTCCATGCAAGCATATTCAACCAACGTACGAAATTCTTAACCTTCGCCCCAGTGGGGGGGGGGGGATATGTTACCACCCTGTCGCGTTTTTCGCATGTGAATAAAAAACCGCGGCGCGTAGCGCCGCGCCGCTTGGGGTAGCTTTTCACACATCAATTTTGGACAATGTGTGAAATTGTTGACCCCAGGTCAGGTCAGGTCAGGTCACCAGGTCAAGTTAACTGACCAATCCTAAAAAAAGTTTGCAATCATGTCCAATCTGCAGTGTTTGTCAGAAAGGTTTTAAACTTGGTGGATTGCATGATGTAATGGGCGCCTACAATTTGTATATCTCGGATTCTTATATCCGTGACCTAAGGTCAGGTCAGTGGCGTGACCTTACCATTATAAGTCAATGGAGAAATATGAAAATGCCTCTAGATCCGTGTGTACGCATAGGAACAGTCCAAATATTTCAGAATCACAATGATTTGGACCACCCGTGACGACCAAGGTGTCGTTTTTGCTGATAGCCTCTAGAAAGGCCATCCGAGGTCATTTGAGGCTACAAACAGATGTTTGCCAATAACTCTCGATTGGAAAGAGATAGAACGCTGGGGATGGTCTCATTGTGTTTGTCTTGCCGAGACGCATCGACTGATATGCAACATGACCTTTTCCGGTCAGGTCATGACCTTGACCTGAGGTCAAATTTTCAAGTTGACCTTGCAAGGTCAAATTATAGTTCATTCGATGCGTCTCGGCGAGAGGAACACGATTCTGGCAATAGAAATGTCGTGGCTTTTTGGAGTCGAAAGTTATTGTCGAAAAACACTTTTCGTAAAAACAGCTATTTTTTAGTTTTTGCCCTCTGGAGGCTAAACCGTTGACCTGAGGTCATTTTTGATGATCTTATCGAAAGAAGAGTTCAAGAGCTATCGATTGCATTTTAATGCGTTTTTAACTATCATAGTTCCTGAGATAAATGCATGTTTTTGGAAAAATGTAATGACATTTGGCAAATTTTGACCTTTGATGACCTCCAGTGACCCCAATATTGCTCTAAGATTAAAAATGACCGAAATACTTTCAAACGTACGCATTGAGAGCTATCGATTGCTTTTTACCGCGTCTTTCTAGCCCTCTTAGTTTTTGAGTTAGAGGTGGGTGGTAACATATGCCCCCCCCCCCCCCACACACACACTAGGGCGAAGTTGGCGGAGACCGCCACTGGGGAGCGGGTTAAGGTCCTATAACCGATGAATCGCATACCCAAGATGATTTGATGAGCATGCGATGAGAACAACAAGCACAAGACGATACATTTTTGAACGAGATGACACGTCTTAAAACCCAACACTCAAGCTACCATGAAACAAAAGTTGGAAAACTTGAACCCACGGCACCAAATACACCCGCACCGCACGTTATAGACAAATCAAGCACCGCATGCATTTTTTTAGCACAAACATGTACAATTTTAGAAAACAGCCGCAGACCCCGCCCGCGGCAGTTTCCCAGTTTCTGTGCACGGATGTTTTCGCGGGCCGGTAACGGCGGGTGCTGGTTAGAGAAGCCGGCTAGGCCCACCTTCCACCTTGCGTCTGGCCTCACGCTGTTGGATGAGCTGCGCCTGCTGCTTCTCCAGGTACTGCTTGATGAAGTCGTTGCCAGCCAGCGCGCCCTCGTTCCTCATCTGTGCGCAGAGCCATGCCGAGGTAAGCGAAAGGAACGGCCGACTGCGAGCCATGCAGGTTTGTTAGGGCGTGCTTAAGGAACATTCATTGTTCACTTAAGGCCGCCGTCCACTATGCGGAGCGCTTGCGGTCCGTACGGAATTTAACACAGAGCCCTATGGGCGCATGCGGTTTCCGTCCGGAGTCCGTCAGGAATGTCTCCGCATCCGGACAGCAAACTGAGGGCTCACGCACACTCGATATCACTTGTTACAAAAAGAAAATATGGCCATTGCCTAGCATCACAAGATGGTGCCATGCCAAGGAAATAAATTTTATCTATAGTCAAAATTGATGTGAAAATGATCAATAACATGCCAAAAATTGTATTGGTTCTTTAGTTTACCAAAGAGAAACAAAAGAGACAAGCTTTCGACAACACTGTCATCGTCTGAGTTTTTGAAATTCCTTTACACACTTCACAACATACAAAAACATATACGCACGCTACAATGATGGAAAACATTCCTCCGTTTGTATGTAGGTAGATGTCGAGATCCAGATCACAAAATGCTTATTTCAATGTGCCTACAACGTCACATGTCACAAGTTCTACATAATCAAGCGCTCATACAAACAGATATCACACTATGCAAGTAACAAAAAATGAATGCTACTTTCTGGTTCGTAACCTACCAAAAGTCACAACAGCCTAAACAATTGGCCAGGACTGTGTGAAGGTATTCAAGTTTGGGTTGATATCACGGATTTTCATAGATTCATCAATTTTATTGTCAGCCACGTCACGGTTTCTGCTCAAAATATCTATACGAAAGTTGTTGTTCATTTCCTTGTGACTAAGTGTCGGGTGTCTATCTAAGGCATGCTCACCAAGTCCGGTACCTAGCCTTCTTAGTCTGGCGTCAGAAAGGTGCTCGTTAAATCTCTCACGAACCGGTCGCGACGTTTCTCCGATATAAATATAAGGTTTGTCCTGACATGTTTTACAAGTGATTTTATATACGACATTTTTTATGTGGCATTTCCCCTGAAGACCGTTCGGGCACGTGTGACACCGGGTTTTGCCGCGGCAAAGCGGAGGCTGAAGGGCAGATCTGACCAGTTTGCTTTTCACCGTGGGTCCACTCTGCCAAGCCACCCTAAGGTTAAGCTTAGATGCCCTGATAATGCCATTGACTCGATGACACACTGTTTCATTGACGTAAGGGAGCCTCATGTAAGTCATCTGCCCTGATTGAGCGTTTTTCCTATCATGTTGTGCCTTTCGTTTTTTGTTGTTTTTAAAAGTTCGGTCAATGATGTGCTCAGGATATCCGTTTTCTAGAAAGAGGTGCTTGATTTTGTCCAGGCTGCGTTGCACAGCAGATGGGGATACCTGGACCGCTCGTTTCGTTTGGGAAGTGAGGACACCTAGCTTAGTTTTCATGGGATGAGCCGATTCATAATTTAAGATGATTGGGGCAGTCATGGGTTTGATGAACAGTTCTGTTGTGTAAGTGCCATTGGGATGAACCGTAACCACAGTGTCAAGAAACCAAACCGTAACCATAGTGTCATGCCAACCATCCAAACGATTAAAAATTTTATCTACTTTGTCTTGAAAGAGTAGAAATTCAATCTTAAATTTCCAATTGAAAACTCAAAGACGGGCGACGGCCCATGTCCGCATCCATTCCGTCTGCGTTCTCCGCACACAGTTCAACACGTTGTACTTTGGTACTTCGTCTCTGCGACAACCACTTCGGATGTCGATGATTTCGACTTGAATAAATCTAGCTCAAGGGAGGTCACGCGCGACTTGCATAACGTGACTTCCGAGTCTGGACTGAATATAATTACGCCAATTATCAGCGATATGTGTCCACACAACATGGATGCGGTTCGCACACGATTTCCGTACGGACCGGATGCGCCCATAGGGTTCTGTGTTAAAGGAAAAGGGCCACCTTCGTGAAATATGAAGATATCGTTGTTTTTCATTTTGACATTATTTTTCATTTTCTTTTTAAAACTGGTGCCAGAAGTGCACAATTCGCGAAAAAGTATTTAAAACTATTTAACATATTGGTACTATGTTGATACTCTCTACGGCACCTACTGTATGATGGCATAGCGATGACGTCACACTCAAGCCAATCAGCGTTCAGAAGACAGACTCGTCGGATTGTGTCAGATAAGCTGATTGGTTAAAGCTGAGCTGATTGGTAAAAAAACCAAAGCCTCGCCGCGGGTGGCTGTATTACAGGGTAAGGACGCATTCCTGGGATTAGGACGCATTCCTCTTTTAAAATTGCCGATACCTACGAATGGAAGCCGAAATCGGCCGTAAGGATATAGACTGGTGGGTTTTCGGACACGGGCTACAAGATGGCTATCTCAGTTTCAATCCCCATGTTAAAGGTGGCCCTTTTCCTTAAAATTCCGTACGGACCGCAAGCATTCCGCACAGTGGACGGCGGCCTTTACAGTTTACACAATATCTTATCATAATTGTTTCCATTTCACACCAGCTTACAAAAGTGGACATGAGCGTCACGGTTAGCTGATGAAAACAGCTGAAAGGTAAACTGGCACACCTGTTTTTTTCTTTTTTTCTTGTCAAACTCTCCCGAGTCTAATTACAGCACCAGTTTCATTTGAAAAAGCAGTGTGCGAACCACACCAGCTATGCAGCGAAGGCAGCTGGGCTCGTGTTCAGTCAATCGTGGATCGCGCGGACAGAGGACGGAATGGAGCCGGCCAGGCTATGAGCGGCTGAGAGCTCCTCCGCGAACGTAGGGGACCGCTTACCGTTACCCAACCGCTATAAGTCGACCCAGCGCGGCTGGTCGGACACTTAAACAATGTTAGATTGGGTTGATGGATCATCAGGGAGCGTGACAAGCTAGGAATGCCCTAAAGTTGTTACTGACGATGCTAGTAATCTGTTGCTGCTGCAATAACGACCTGCGCTGATGTGTTTCAGGTGAAGTTAATAGCTGCTGGTATCCCTTACCCGCGACTGGCCAAGCAAAGGTCTATTATCATCAGGTTGGCTTGAAGCCCTTTACTGTGCAAGTTCCTCAGCCAATGCCCCTAGATTACCGATGGAATTTATCAGTGGTTGAAGTGGAGAGCACTGTTATTGTGAGAAACCAGCAGCCTGATCCATCCCGGCCGTGAGATGCTTATCATAGCCTTGACCAATCGAAATATGTCTGCTGCATCACCCCATCCAGTAAATCTTGAAGTCAGCAACTTTTGTGTTTACATGGCAGCAGGGCTGTCAGAGACAATATGTTTATAACACTGAACTCTATAATGTGGAAGGCGCTTCGGCCGCCAGATGGTGTCCAACGGTGCCGCCATGTTGCGCAGACCAGGAAGCGGCCGCCGCCTGTGTTGGAGAATAGGGAATTCGGGACCTCGATTTACGTTTGCGGTCGCTGCATCCGTTACGTTCAAGCTATGTGGACACGGAACCCGGCATCTTTCGCAGAATTGAGTGGAGAACAAGATGAAATCCTAAAAAATCCTCAGATACAAGGAACTAATACGTTAAACCCTTATAAGTCAATGGGGAAATATGAAAATTGCTATTTTGGCGCCGAGAATGATCTGAAACTATCTCAAGCATATAGAATCATGATTTCATGCACTCTTTGCAAGGTTCTATGCTTCATATTTGCATTGTTGCCCTTGCGTGACGTCATTTGTGACGCCACAAAGGTCACAATTTTTCTTCAATAACTCCCGATCAAATTGAGCTAGCGAGTCGGGAAAGCCACCAATGGACTCAGGAAGACCTGCCGAATCGAATGATATGCGACATGACCTCTTTCGACTAACTTCGTGACCTGGGGGTGCTGACCTGACCTTGACCTGAGGTCAACACCCTAAGTTGACCTGACCCGAACAAAAAGTATATCACTCGATGCGCCTGAGCTAGGGGAACACGATGATGCCAAAATCGCAGCTCTACGGCCATTTTTGGCGAAGTTATTTACCAAAAACCGAGCCCGTGCCTTAGGTCACTTGACCTGACCTCAGAGGTCACCGGATGACCTGAGACCTTTAAAGCGGATTCCTACCAGTCGCTCTGGATTGTACTCTGCCTCATACGACCACTTTACCGCTAAATTCTAGTTGAATTAGCGGCGCATTAGCGAGGTGGGTTCAATCAACCCTCTCGGCCGGGGCAAATGTAAAAAGACGATGGTCCGGCGAGTGAATTTGAGCAATTCTGATGATTTGATCGTGTTCCCCACTCAATTCTGCGTAAGATGCCGGGTTTCGTATCTACGTACCTTGAACGTAACGGATGCGGCGGCCGCAAACGTAAATCGAGGTCCCGAATTCCCTATTCCTCAACACAGGCGGCGGCCGGTTCCTGGTCTGCGCAATATGGCCGCCACCGTTAGACACTTCGGCCAATAGGGTTGAAGCGGCAGTGCTCCCCTGTGGTTTATAACAGGCAACTCCCCATAACTATGCGGACTACCCTAAAATTTTATCTTTGAGTGAGCACTGAACATCCTGGGCAATGGATTTATATGTCGTTATTGAGGCAGTGGTACTTCTGCACACGTGCGTGTTCAGGGCCCAGGGGCAGCTTCTGCATCTCCATGGCTGGGCCGATTGCACTCAATGTTATAGAACTAGGATTGAAATGGAATGGTGGCTAGCAATCAGTTGGGGGTCTCATGACACACTGAAACAGCGTTTACTATTGCACTTGCTGGTTTGTGGCCCAAAGGCATTTTATTGATTTATTTATGGTGTGACATATGAAATGTCTTAAGTATCACTTGCAACAGGCTGCATGAGCACAAAAGGTACACAAAGCAGACAATTTGTGTGGCATAATGCATAAAAGATTGACAGCAGTTGATTGGTAGCATGAAGCTTTTGAATTACCTCTATACTTACACTGATGTTTGGGGCCTGGTCATCTTCACTGCTGGCATTCCGTTCTCGCTCTTTTTCGAGGTGGACATACTGCAAAAAGAAGACATGGTATAAGGGCTTGAAATACACATATTGACATAGCAAGGGCTAGACCACTGCAATGCACACTCACAGTGGTGTAGTGTGGTGAAGGCAGCTGATTGAGAAGAAATGGTACAAAGCCTATAGGTTCATGCTGAACTCAGTAAGTCAAGGTACCTTCTATGCTGAACAACTGCTTCAGTGCAAGTAAAGCTTTGTCCACAAAATTATATACAACTTGCAAGAGATGACTGTCAAACAGTGAGCAAGTCCTAGTTAAAGTTCATATATTGGGGACTGGGGAGCATTCACAGTGGGTATTCTGCACCCAGGTTACACATAGTACAGAAGCAATGCAAGATACTAAGACAGTGCAGGATCAGTGTACCAAAATTTGTCATTTTGGGTGGAAAACAACATCCAAATAAAAATCATTTTTGACTCTGACCTTCAACTTTTTCGACTATTTTCCTCTCCCAATTCTACAAAGAAAAACATTTACATAAATTATATGTAGATCGCGTTTTACATTCTACAGCCGACCACGATTGTATATAGATTCATACTTTTGATTATATTCAACTCTTTTTGGGCCTTTCGTGAACGTTACTTTTCCACTCTCACCCATGATTTGGTGATCAATTTTCCCCTCTGACACCCAGGCCAAAATATAATTTTGGGACACTGTGCAGGATAGTACAAACAATGCATGAGACAGGTCGTGGTGTAAGTTAAGAGGGAAAAGAGACGGGTTAAGCATCAGACAGTCACAGCAATTCCTTTTTTGCAGTTTTTCTCAGCACATCACCCTTGATTTACTATAAAAATACAAGCAATAAGCTTGTCACCCTAGCTGGTCTGCCTCCACACACTTGCATGTGACAAGAAATGGCTTTGCAGCCTGGCTTATGTCTTCAATTGGGTGGAATCTGAAAAACAGGGCACCTGAGGCGATCTAATCAATGCTCTTGAAATTCGCGTGTGCAAATCACATGACAATAAGTGTGTTGAAGGCAGCAAAGGGGGAGAATTTCTTTGCTGTCACATGACTTAGCGTGCATTCTACGTCCAGATCAGGGATAATTATCCGGGATCACCAGTAAGTATTTGGTATTGCAGGGACCATTGATGCAAGTATTCACATTGTTAGACTGCTTTTGCTCCCTAATGACTCTTTTTCTCATTGTCATGTCCATTGGGCAAGACGTCGGCCTAAAAAAACCAATGATCCCAGGTGATCCCAGAAATTATCCCTGGTTATCCGCATGCTGAATACCCAAAATATGCCCTGCGGTGCCGTTTTCAGATTCCACCTACAATTGGTCGATAGTCGAAGGAGATGGCACAGATTCATACCAATGCAAGGGAATGCAAAGAAGTGGGAAAACGCTGTTAATTCTATTCCTCTGCTGCACTTAAAATCAATGAATGAAATGTAAGAAGAAAATAAACAGCGAAAACAAATAATCAGAGGACGCTGCGCCACGTTCGTCTAAAGAGTTCACAACTTACCGAGCGCAAACGCTCCAGTAGCTCTTTCTTCGTTCCAGATTTCGACAAATTTCTTTTGTCCAATTCATCCTTTAAATCAATCACGCGCAGTGATGAAAGCGCCTTTCCATCTATTTCTAATTCAGAGTCCATTTTCCACTATATAGACACCGGCCCACTCGCGCAACGTGCACACACAAAACACGCTCTACCCTGAGCCCTGTTCATGAAGTGTGCGGCCGCTGCGGCCGGCCGCAGGTTCTAAGCCCCGCCCATTTTTGAAACGTCATCACTCACTCGGCCGCAGCAGCGTTCCATGAACAGCGTCTGCTGCCGAAATAGTTTCCGACAATTGTTTACAACTGACGCACACCGCTAGATAATTTGTTTACAAAATCGTCTCCATGACAACACGGCTTGCGCCTATTTGACTTCAGTGCGCCAAATTCAGTGCAATTAGTTTTCTTGCGGCTCGGCGGTCGCTGGATTGCGGCCGCAGAGATCGCAGCGGCCGCAGCAAGGTGACGTCATACATTCGTCATACTACATGAGCCCCGCCCCTTTTCGTGACGTAACAACCCGGCTGACCGCAGCGACCGCAGCGGCCGCAGCGACCGCCGGGGTTCATGAACAGGGCCCTGCTCTACCCGCTCTACCGAAATCAAGGATGCGAGGTTTGTGCCGAAACTGAGACCAGTAGAATGCCTCAACGTCTAACGGTAGCCACAGCCTAATAAGCGGCTGTGACGTAATTGGGGGACAAATCGACACAGTCGTCTATAAATGCATAATGCATATATGTAAATAATATAAACGACAGTTGCCGGTGGTAATGCGTGATGAGAATCGAGAATCGCCAGCAGACTTGTCTCCCGAATTTTTTATTGGTCCGCTTCGCTTTTTTTAATTACATCTACAATAGCTTAGTTGTTTTGTTTTGTTGGGTTAGACCTTTTCGGTCTGACAAGACCGTTTCAGAGCCGGAAGGATGATAGGAATTAGGGGGAGACGTTGGTCTCGGCAGACATCCTGGAGAGTGGCGCCGGGGCTGAGACAGTCCGTCCAAATCCGACCCCCCCCCCCCCCAGCACTCCCCGCACCCGTCCCGGCTACGGGGTGAGCTCCTGTAAGGGAGCGGGTACCCATTAGCGTCGCCACGGGGGGGCAAGCGGGGCAGCTTGCCCCCCCCCCAACCTCGGATCGGGCACCCCCTGAGATCGATACAGATCCGATGAGATTTAGGGGTCGGGAAAATGGAGGTACCTTTCATCTGAGAATGCCTGTGATGTCCGACTCGGTTGGGGCGTGCAGTTCAAACCAGAGTCGGAGTCGCAGTCGCCAAAATCTTCAAGACTCCGACTCCAGACTCAGAAATGTCAATGCTGTGATTCATTCCCTGTTCCTAGTTGGTTCTTTATTACATTCTATAGCTGATTTTCATAAGTTTTGGAGTGCTGCCACATAATTTTCGTTCAAAGCGTGACACGAAATCTTCGGGACCTTTCTCAATTCTTGTCAAATGTCTGCGACAGGCTCAAGTATTGTTCAAGTGTCGCGGGGCTCATGAGCTAGCTTTTCACACAGGCTCCTAAGGAGCTTTACTTAACCCTCGCCCGTATGGGGGGGGGGGGGGTCGAACGGACCCCCCCCCCCTCGGTTTTTCACGAATAACTCGCGTAAAAAGCGGCCGATCGCGACGAAACTTTCAGTTCCCTCGAATTGATCAATTTTACACCTACCCTAAAATTTCATGACCCTGACCCAAATGACCTTTGACCTGTGACCTACTTTTCGAGACCATGTTTGGCCGGAATCGCGATTCGGCGTATGTCGGCTCGCATTAGCGGCGCGTTTGCAGTCTTTTCAGTTTTCGTGGTTTCAAGCGTTCAAACATCTGAAATGATGTTGGTCCCATGCATTAGGGTGGGTGTCAAGGTCACCTGAAGGTCAGGTTAGATCATTGACCTTTGATGACCTCGGTTCACTTTTTCGAGTTTTACATGTTTCTAGGCCAGTTTTTGGAGCTGATTTCGAATTTAACAACCATATGAACGTTAACGAAGTAGTTTTGGTGCCTTCGTAACATGTTACGAAGCTGTCAGAGGCGGTTGACACCTACTACGAATACCCGGCAGGACTCCTACTGGTTGACCTGATCTGACCTGACCCGACCTGGTCTAAATGCTTAAAGACATCATCTGTGATCAAAACTAACATGATATTCGTGATCAGCACCCCGAAAAACCCCATAGCAGCCACACTTTACGACATTCTAACAGGTCCCGCCTTTCCCGACTTTTGGGTCATTGACCTGACCTGGAAGGTCAACCAATGACCTAGGACCTTAAATTGGTTATCTTCGGCTTCCTCTCGTCACGGGCAGCACGCTCGTTTTTTTCCGCGAAGCTCTAGCTCGATCAGGGGCGAAACGGCAAGGGGGGGGTCCAACGCCCCCCCCCCATCCCTTATACGTTCGCGGCTGGAAAAACACCAATACGGGCGAGGGTTAACTCTAAGAAGCTTTCAGAGGGCCCACACCGGCCTCTGAGAGTCCCACTGGTGGCCATGGTCTCTGAGGGCCCATACAGGGATCTTTGAGGATCTTATACATGCGTAGACCTCTGAAGGGCCACACGGATCTTTGAGGATGGCTTCGAAAATTTCTGAGAACTTTAACTGGCCTCTGATAGCTCAGCCAAACGTTTGAGGCGACAGACTTTACTAACCCCAAGCCGGCATATGAGGGGTGGGGTCACAACTCACGTGTCCCTCTGAGGGCCGCAACACATGTTTCTTATGTCCCTACGTAGCGTCCTAAGGGATTCGACACAGACCCCGATGGTTCACACTGTTATCCGAGGGTTCCAAGCTCACCCTGGGCCTATTCGCTTAGCGCCCGCCACCCACACTGGCTTCTGAGGGCCCCACCTTGGGCTCAGAAAGCCCTAAAGCACCACATATACGTAAATATTTGGGGGTGACCCACGCCGATATTTCATTTCATTTCATTTATTCACCATATCAGCCACGGGACATGCCCATTTACGGCCAAAGTCACAGCACAATAAAAATACATGAACCATACACAGTCTTCATAAAATTTTCCCTTTTGCTAAAGTACAAGATAAAATAAGGAATAAATTTAAAAATAAACAAATGGGAGCACTAAACATGCTAAAATCGTTTCAAGCGCTATGAGAACAAGCACTCTTAACATACCTTAAAATACAAGACCTGACGCGAGATAAAGAGTCATGAAATATGTCGACCTCATCACATCGCTGCAAAAACTCGTTCATCACCCTGGGAAGCCTACAAAACATGCCCATTTTCACCGTTCCTACCCTTCCGTGGGGCACCGCAAGAAAAGTACGCAGCCGGGTGATGCGGGGCGGAACGGCCAAGCCGAAGTGCGACCGCAAGAAGCTGGAGTCGATATTATTTTTCAAGATGCGTGTCGAGAACATTAACCTTCCAGGCGGTGGGGGGGGGGCATTTTTTTGCCCCCCCTTTAGTTTTTTCGATATATCTCGAGAACCGCTGCGCCGATCGTCACCAAACTTTCAGTACCCTCCCGGGAGCAGCTAGCGCACATGGTGACCAAAAAATTTTCCAAAGGCTATGATAGGTTGGCCGCTAATGACGTCAGAGTGACGTCATTTTTGCCATTTTCGACCCAAAAAAATGTTTCGCGGGAAGAGCTGTCAGGCCTACAGCTTTAGAGATACAGAAAAATGTTTCAGACATAAAAGGTGTGGAATGAAGAGGGCTACAAAACTGCTATTTCGGTTTTTCAAATTTTTTGGATTTTGACCCCCAAAAATCAAAAAATAATTTTTTTGAATAAAATAGCCTAAAAATCCAAAAAGTTTTTTGAATTTCGAAAAAACCGGAATATATGTGATAGCCCCTACCGCCTTCTATCTACATACCAAATTTGAGATCGATACCTCTTTTTTTGGCCAAGTTATAGCGAAAAAACTGTTCAAAATTGATGACGTCAAATTTTCAAACTCAATTTTTAGCAATTCTAGACCTCGTAGCGCAAAACAAAGACCACCATTAGACTCCCGTGACGAGCTGCATCGAATCGATACCCATTTTATGCAAAAATATCAACTTTGAAATTTGACCTTTTTTGACCTGACCTTGACCTGACCTCCACCAGAAAGTGACCTAAACCGTACCTGATGGTCTTATAACCAACACCATTGAGTTGGAAATGAAAATCTGGCCATAAAACATGCATCGCATAACCTTAGTAAAGTTGGGCTCATGTGGTGACCCTTGGTGACCTTTGGTGACCTGACCTGTGACCTGACGTGGTATGACCAGTGACCTCTAATAGCAACATATGTACTAAACAACTGACGCCTTATCGCTGATTTTCGACAAAATGCGTTTTACTCGGTGTTATAGCGCTTTCCCTAGAAGCCCCGTGAACGGTGAAACATTTTATCTTTGACCTGACCTGTGACGTCATCGGTGACCCCGAGGTCAATGAAATTTGGTTTCCCTCGACAAATTTGACAGGGCTATCGAACGCCGTTTGAATTTTCCGGATCCGTCCAGTAGTTTCGGAGATACGGGGGGGGGGCAAAAAAGTGCCCCCCCCCCCCCCCCCCCACCGCGCGGAAGGTGGCTGGTAGGCCCACCGCCTGCCGGGTTAAGTCGTGTTGAGTTCGCCTTACATTCAGTGGACAGAGAGAAAAGTGAGAAAGCAGGCGGCTATAGTCGAGAGTTTGAGGCGCGCCAGAAACGTGGGTCGACAACCAGATAACAAATTTGTGTTGTACGCGCTCTATTCGTTCTGTATGGGACTTCGCCGCCCCACCCCATACCACGCTACAATACTCCAGTATGGACCTCACATTAGCACAATATGCAGCGATCAAAGCCGTTCGGTTAAATTTGACCTGTCGTCCAGACTGAAAAGAACGTATCATCACACCGAGTGCCCTATTGGCTTTCGAGACAATGCTATCGACATGCAACTGAAACGTGAGCTTACTATCAATGATGACGCCAAGATCTCTGATGAATTCTACATGTTCTAGAGCCCTGTCATGGATACAATACACACTCTTCATGGGCGCACGCCGCAGAGAGATGGTAAATGATCGACATTTATCAGCGTTTAATTGCAGGCGCCACGTCGCCGACCAGTGTTCCAGTCGCTTGAGGTCAGCACGCAGGCTATCAACATCACTGGCAGATCCTACACAGTGGAATAGCTTGACATCATCAGCGTAGAGCAAACAATTTGTGGATATGTGCAGCGGTAAATCATTTACAAACAGGGCAAACAGCAGTGGAGAGAGCTGACTACCTTCAGGAGTACCGGACGTCACACGTATCCAATCAGATGTGCGACCATTCATCACTACTCGCGGGCGTCTATCTGAC